TTTTATTTTTAAAACCACAGTACTTAAATTAGGTAGGGTATCTAAAATAGCTTATTATTGTTATTAGTTAGAGTTTTTTTCACTTATTAACAATATTATCTGGAAATATTGATGTGTCCAACAAAGAAAATGGAGATAAACCAAGAGTATAAAATATAAAACAAACAAAAACTAAGTAATACATCACCCATAGTGTAATGTCAGGAAGATAAAACCTACTTCCTGTGTTATAATGTACTTCCAGTTGGTTCCTGCCATTGTGTACGGTTTCTTATTTCTCACTTTTAAAACATTTTTTTTTACATTTCACAGTTTTTTTTATATTTCGTTCACATCACATGAATGCATATTTTTATCTTATTTCAATTTCACTTTAACCATATAGTGTAAATGTACTCCCTTTTATAAGTTTTGAATTTAAAAATATCTAAGCATGAAAAATAATTTAGTATAATATATACTGACATGTCCTCAAACCCTTATTGTATTAAAATACAGATTACACATTTAAATGTCTATATAATTTAATAATTAGCGATGAACGAATTGTTTCTAGTATTAAACCATTAAAACTCTCTAGGTTCTAGATCGGAATAGTTTTTCCCTACTTATTACTTCAAGTTAGGTCTATAATTCAGACAGGGTCGTGGCATTATCACTTAGATAAAACCCATTGGTGATTGGCGGGATTTGAACCTCTGGACAAGTTAAAGTTCCACACTGTACCACTAGACCTCACTTTCCTAATTTTTCAGAAGTTACATCTTGGAAGCATCGTAACCCTTACGCCCTTAGCGTTTTTAACTATGCCATTAGGACTTTCCTTATTTTCTTCCCGTCATAGCCCAAAGTATGGTTTTGTCGAACTTTTTTTACTCAGTTCCAGGTTATAAATACATTATTATTATTGTCCTTAATTATTTCAGTTATAAGGCTACAGAAATTAATTTGTAATTTTAACAATTTCATAAACTTGTTTAAAATTGATGGATTATAACACCTCCACAGTAGTAATTGCAAGAGCGATAACAGTTGTACCAACTTAACCCCAACATTAATTACATGGTAATATCCGAGGTGGCTAACCTGGGTTCAATATAACAAGAATTATTGGTCTCATAACAACCGCATATTGCCACAGTCGTGATTAATAGAGGTGATGCGTTTTGGTTGATTAAACTGATTTGACAGAAAATCAAACAGCATTTTAAGCTCGGATTACAATCCTATCCTAACAATGTAAACTTTGATAGTAACACATTATTCTCAGAAAATATTTTTTTGTTTCACTTTAACCTGTTCATAGTAGTTATTTTGAGGAAAATCACTTGGCTTGATAGGGAGAATGAAGAATAGTGAGTAACTTACCTAAGAAAAGAGTTCCAGGTAAAATACTAACCAAGAGAGCACACAAAAAAAGGTTCACAACACAATAAACTTAATAACTTACTACAAACTTAGAAACACATACTTTTGTGTTATTAAATGTAAATATCACGTCAATTTCGGGATGAAACACTTAAGCTCTGAAATGTTATTATTTTTAATTAACCACCTGATAAAACTTTTATTTGGGTAATGTAAGAAAAATTTAAAGTCACAAGTAATGCATGGAGTAATTCATTAATAATAAAATGCATAAGATCGAACTTTTAAAAGATACTGCCATAGATTAAACATACTCCCTTGGTAGGTAGGTTAGGCCATAGATAAAACATACTCCTTTAGTAGATTTCTCATCCTAATGGAATAGCTGAAGACAATTTTATTGTTAGTTCTGTACGGTTTATGTAGAGGTCGTGTTTTGTTTACAATTTGTTTCCCGTTAATACAGTAATTTAAAACCTCGTTTAACCAAACAATACGATCTAATCATAAACAATAAATTGTTGAGAAGTCTACTTGTGTTGGTTAGTCTATGGTTAGGCATCGTTATGTATCAGCTGAAGACAGTTTCGGTTTCAATATTACAGTAGTCATCTTCCTCTACTAGACTAGGGTTATGTTTGTGTTTACTATTTGTTTATTGTTATTTCAGATATTCAAATACTAGTTTAGACAAATAAAACAGTCTAATTATAAACAATAGCTCGTCCTCTGGGTTTAAAGCCAAAAAGTAAAGCATAAATCATACATTTAACCCTAAAAAAAGAAACAATATATTTGACGGCTCTAGCGCTCAATCTCACTAAAATAAACCAGACATAAAAAATAAGGTTCAGACTTTTCAATGGAATGGGAAATCTACTTTAGAGTTATTCAATGTTACTTACTATCCAATTTTTTTAGAAAATTGAAAATTTATAACAAGATATAAAAAAATAGCGTAGTACACATGACACAATCAATTTGTTTATGTTTAAATGTATATCTTATGTGAACATTTAAGAATACTTATAATAAATTAATTCCTAACCCAACTAAACTGCCCTAATTGACCAATACGAATTACCTCAATCAGTTTTAATGATCAAACTACAAATGAGCATTGACATAATGCAACTTGATCAGAACATATTGAAGGGGACTGACACAAATGGTTGTTATAGAGTTAGTCGATTAATTATCAGCAATGCTTTGTCACCATGTATTGATGTACAAATCTCATGCTGATTAGATAATTGGGACGATTAATTACAATTTAATTTAACATATCGGGAGGATTTCAGTTACCTCTGTAGATTTTAAGTTCATTATATACATAATGAAACGTATTAGTGCAGTCATAAGTAAAGTAAGTAAATTAAACTCTTAGTGTGAGAAAAGACCATTTTACCTTAAATTAAAGTAGGAAAGTAACTTCACAGGTTAAAGTGAAAATAAACAGTATCAGCACTTTCTCTTTTTTTTAACTGACACACACTTTCTCCCATTAGCTTGTCAACAACCCTTATAATGGATCTGTAAAACTAACAATGGTATTTTGTGGGTGAAATCACCAAAATTACTATACCTTTTGAACCATAATTTTTAAAGCAATGGGGGTTGTACCATTTTGTTAAGAGTTAAAAGGATCACAACATACTATTTTTTAGTCAAAATCAACCAAGCCGATTTTGTAGAAATCTGTTTTTTTTTGTTTTTTTTATTTTATGGGAAAACTACCATTAAAAATTAAAATTTATAAAAAACTTTAAAAAACGCCTGGAGATACCATGGATTAGTAGTCTCGTACCACAATTCATCAAAATCGGACCACAGATGTAGTCTGTAGCTCTGTACACATCCACATAGACCATCAATGACCATAGACATCACTTCGAAAACCACTTTTTGGGTTCAGGGGGACTCAAAACAGACATTTTGATTTTGGGACAGTATTTTCTCCAAATACTATGTATAGGAGGAGACACTAAAAATTAAACAAGTATGAGCATTTACCAAAAGTATGCACTTAAGACAGCCACCTAAACGAGATATATGTGAGCAAAGTGATGTAGGGTGGTGAAAAATCATGTCACCAAAACCATCATGTTTTTCTTGATTACAATAATACTCCAACTTTTAGGTGTTTTGCTAGCTTAGTGATTCTGATTCCCTGCAAAATTAACACGTTCCATCCTACATCCACAAACATTTTAGGGGCTTAAAACAGTTGCTTGACAAAAAACCTCTGATGTCATATGTTCTGTTCATCAAACCATCACTTTGCCCCCTCTTTAATTTAATGCTATACTGACTTTACCCCTGTTTATACTGCTATACCCCTGGGGCCCAAGAAGCCTGTTGCTACACCCCCTTTGAACTCCCCCGTCACTCCCCTGCTGTTTAATTTAACATCACTTTGTTAACCCAATCAATTATTAGCACTTGGGAGTGTTATGTGCAACCATTGAGTATTCCCTTTATGTGCAAATCTCCCTGTGGATTGGGTAATTGATGTAAATATTTACATGAGTTTTGTATACATTTAATTTGTCTAAGGGGTCGTTTGATGACAATTTTTATGATTCAAGTAATTGTATGTTTGCTTTACACATCAATTTGTTTTGTAGGGTATTTTTTTTGTTGAACATTGGTATTTTTCATTCAAAGTGTTTTTTATGTTTTTCATTTACGTGAACCAGACATACCATTTACTTTGATGTTATCAATGCTTTCCGGTTTTTTTATAGGTTTATTGTGATGCAAATTAAATTCCAAGTGTATGTAACAATAGAGATATTTTATCTATTAAAAAGGGGCCTTCTTGTATTTTCCTGTTTTCTTGGACCTGCTCATATTATTGAAACTAATTTTCTACATCGTTGCCAAACAAATCGGAGCATTTATTGTTGTGGACAAGAATTGAATTGACATAAAATTTGTCGGATGCAAGCTCACTTGGCAACACACATTCGGAGCGGCGTGACGTCTTCAAAGCGCTGTGCTGCTTACAAAATCTTCATTTTTTTTATTAGGTAAAAGTTACTCGGAGCAAGGTCTGGACTGTAGGGGTGTTAAGGGGAAATCTCTCATTTAAATAAACGAAGAAGAGCTTGAGTGTGATTTGCGGTGTGTGGCCAACAAATTTTGTACTTCAACTTTAGTTTGACCATTTTGAAACTGAAAGCATTATTCGGACATAGCTTCCACTAATTACGTTATTTCCCTACAGTTCTCTCACTTGATTATAAATTTCTATAGGTTTTAAGTTTATGGATAAACAAATCCATAATATGAACAGCATCACAACTAGCGGGATTGTTAATAGCAATATACTTGAATTTTACAGCAGGGGGCAGTGCAACGGCACTTCCGCTGTACGGCTGGATAATTATTTATTGAGGAGGCAAAAACGTCTGTACTAGAAATTGCGGGATTAAACGAACATGCTGTCTATCAGCGTCAGACATAAACGTTCCTTACTTTCTAAACAACCCTCGTACATGTGTTAAGCACACATAATTAAATAGATGCGTACATAATGAAGCGATCTCATTTCTTCCATTGCTCTATTTTAGAACGAGCATTGTTGACACAGAATGGCTCCAACAAGGATTCAATTTATCAGACAAGAATAATTGTTAACAAACTGTATTTATTAAACTAAAACAATCTTTCATCAATATCACAACCGTCTCAACTCCAAATACAAAAATACTTAGCGACTTACGTGCGAGCACAAGAAACACTAGATTTAACTACGTTAGAACAATTAGATGAAAGTACTAGATCTATATACAAAGAGTAAAAAATTGAAAATAAATTATTAGTAAGCAAATTAGGAATCAGCTGTGGAATGCGTGTGGTGCCTTATTTAAAGTTCATCGTCTAAGTTGAGTTCTTCTTCAGGGTAGTCGCCCACTTCCACAAACTGCGGTTTAACAAAACTTCCGTACTTCGGAGGGCACTCAAAGTACCGAACACCGCTTACTCTGAAAAAATACATCTATGTAACAAAGTAAAATTTGGCAAGGTACATTTTTGGCAATGCTTCAAATAAATAAAATTTAGAAGGGCAATGAAAACCTCATCTTCGCATTCACACCAGATGTTTGTGAGTGAAATTTGATGGATGTAGTTTAAGCATTAACTTTAGGATAGTTATGTAAACATCTCATCTATATCTATTTGGACCAGCTGTAGAAAGGGTTAAGTCATATCCAAATAGAACACAAAGTTAAATAGATTTCATTTCATACTGTGTGATGATGTCAAAATTATATTTTCACTCTTAACTCTCAATACTACAGTAGAGTCCCGCAAACTCGGCACTCGATAACCCGGCAGTCTGGATAACTCGGCCATCACCTGGCTCAGAAAATCAGTGATTTTTTGAATCCGAGTTAAACATGGGCTCAAGTCAAGGAATTTGCAACTCGTACCAAGGATTTGTTGTATTATATCTGATGACTTAATACCTACTTGTAAAATAAATGTAAATAAATAAGGTAGCTAAAAGGAATAAAAATTGTATTGTTCTTATTTTTAACCCTAGTTCCCGATAACCCGGCATTTCACAAACTCGGCACCCTTCCAGTCCACATTACGCCGAGTTTGCGGGACTCTACTGTACTCGATTCTGCTTGCAAAAGTTTTCCCTAAAGTGCTAAGTAAAATACTTAACACTTTTTTGTGTTTTTGTATAGTATCACAGTATCTTTTTTGTAGTCTTTTTCCGGTGGCCACAGTTGGAGAATTTGAAGATCACACATTTTTTTTTTGTAACTGACATTTCTCTTCAACCTGCTCTCTGAAGAAGTCCTACATCAGGACGAAATATCAGTTTTATGTTTTTTGTTCGTTTATTGCGTATCTATTAGCTCCTGCTCTCTAACTTTCTCAGGTAATCCAGCTGAACTCCATCCCTTTTCAAACAAATTCCTTACTAGCCAATGGGCTTTCCTTTAAAATATAAAATAGTTTCTGAATTATTTATCTTCAATGTTTAGAAATACTTATTGTTTCAAAAAGTGTTTATTTTGTATCAGTGTGTATCAATCCAACCTTTGGTCATGCTCCCGAAAATTTTACTTACCAAATAAGGAAAAGTATTTGCAAAATCTAAGAAATCTGATACAGTTCAGAAAATCTGGGACTTTTCTACAGCAATGAAAACAACAACAGCTATCATTTCCATGATAGCTCAAAACTAAAGCTAGGCTACGAGGCCAAGCAGCTAATGTCCATGCATTCAAAACAAATGCACAGAAAGTGTAAATACATTGTGTAAGATATCTATAACAAACATGGTGTAAGATATTTACAAGCACCTAAACATTGACCACATTATGTGACTAAGTAATACACACATTCCCTAATTAAGTGTCACGTCTAAAACTAACAGAGCAGTACCTACTAACTGGAGAGAAAATGGGTTGCTTATTGTAGGTTTTTAAATTTAATTTTTGATTTAACATATACAAATATTGTGTTTTGCAGTATGCTATAAATTTATTGACTACTCAAACGATTTTGAGATTCCTTTATGCTCTTGAGTAAAACTCTACCGCTTTATTTGTGAGATTTTGAATTATGAAAGTAAGAATATCAGAGAGAAAATGAGCCCAAGAAGGAGACCTTGAAGTTTGATGAATGAAGTTAAGAGGTAAGTGAAGAAGAGAAGAGTTGAATGGCAAGTTGAGAAAGAAGAACTATCAAAGAATCTGTAAATGGAGAGGTCAAGTCAACACTTAAACTTAGGAATTTTCAGAATGTATAGTACTTATGTACTCCACAGAATGTACAAGTGTCTAAAGTTCTATTTTATACCTTTTTTTTTGCTGACCAGGTTGATAGGTCATACAGTTGCTATAACTCATCAAGTCATTCCCTAAGTTTGACTTGGTAAAAATGTTTGTGTATTTGTCAGAATTCAATAATTTAGATCAGCGCAATCTGTAGGTGGCTCACATCAACTACTGTACGGTGATTTTAAAAAAATCTGGTTACAAATTTTACATGGGAATGGAATGCCTAGTTGTATCAATTGTCAAAGCTACTATTAATGTTATATTGTAATAACATTTATGTATTTATTATTTTTTTATTAAGATAAGATAAATTGGTAAGATAGCAGCAGTAAATAATGTAGTTTTGTGTATTTTTGAGTCAATACGTTATTTAATTTGTTGTCATTTTAACCATTCATTTTACGGATGAAGCGTCAGATGTAAAAGTCATTAAGCCACAAACATTAGTATTTAATCATTATTATAAGTTAATTTATAAATACTTTACGAGAAGGGAGCTAAATCGCAAGCTCTTTAACATTGACCATAAAAAGAGAAAAATTAAAAAAACTAACCAAATTGTCCACCCTGTTGTAAAAGCTGTAAAGAACAGAATTGCAGTTAATAAAAGTAATAAGTTGTGTCGGTATTTTCATTAATAGTTGAACATGTTATCAATTACTGTAAATTCAATTTCAGTAGCCTTAAAAACATAGTTTGGTGAAATGCATAAAAATGACTGTGTTATCAATACAAATTTCCTACTCAAAATGATTGGTGACAGTTTCTATTCAAATAGATTCGTCCGATTAAGGTGAAGATGTGTGAAGGATACTGTTGGATGAATGTAGCAATAGCTTTGTTTCTGACTATGATCAGCTGATTTTTCAGCCAGAATATTCTATTAATCGCATAATTTTCAAAGTCATTTTGAACCTAACCTATTAACTTTTTTCAGGATTAAACCTGTTCATCTTCTATTTACAGGGTTTCTTTTAAACACAACCCAAATAGCAAGTCCCATGAGACATTGTTTAACATCTACACAAGCTCATATGTTGGTATCTCTGATTTCTTTAGCCTATTCCATTGCCGATAAGCTGATATGCATTGTTGCATAGTTATCAATTAGGTTTAGTGTTATTGGGAATTTATTGTATAAGACTCAACATGGTGTTTTCTCAAGCTCAAAGAGTATGTATTGTAGAAGAATACTTTAAAAGTAAATCTTTAATTTTATAAAATAATAGTGGTTTATTTACCTTTACTTTCGTCCCAGTTCAATAAAAGTTGTAATATCTACAACCATGGTTTCGACGCTAGTTGCGTCATGGTCACGTAGTTAGCAAGTCGAGAAGTATCTTGTCATAGTCGGTCGCTTGGACGTCGTCATATTTACACAAACACGGACACGGACATAAACACACACATACATTCCGATTAAAACAAAAGGTTCTCGTGGACGGAACACAGGCCTGTGGTGAACAGTCAAATTGTACCGTCGCGAGAGCCGGCAGGAGAACACTTTGGTAAGCTCTACAAAATGGTTTGGAAAGAAATTGTGAAATTTTGTGTTTTTAGGGTCAGAAATGGGAAAAACCTATTTTTGCCCCATAAAACCTCCCATAAACCACTGTTTCCATGGTCCGATCATGCTGGTTCGTGAACTCGTTCGAATAAATGTAGGTCTACACGTTTATACCATATTTCATCAAAATCGGATCATTTTTGCTCGAGTTATTGTGCTAAGAGACACATATATATGACTTTGAACGGATGGTGTTTTTGGCCTCTAGGGACCTCAAAACGAAATTTAAGTAAATCGGTCCCGGGTCCAGGTCTTACCATGAATACTACAGTAATAGCATTGACTGTTGTATTAATAGTCAAAGGTAATAGCTTATTCACTATATGGGAAATTCGCTAAAAATAGACCTACAAACACATTCTCTTAATCTTGCAAAAACACCAAGTTAAGTCTTTCACAATAAATATCAATAACACTAAACCTAATAAATAACTACGTAACAAAGCAAACTGCATACTAGCTGATTGGCAAAGTAAATAAAACAGGGATACCAACATATAAGCTTTTTTTGTTGTTAAACAGTGTCTTTTAAGAAACCACAAAAACTGCATGGTTATAAGTCTGGATCGAAGGTCTAATATTTCTGAAACTTACAACTTGTATTTGCTACACCATATCTAGCTTAGTTCCTAAGTCCAATAAGAATATGTACAATCACTTCCTTCACCCTTGTAAAAATAGCAGCTAATGTATCAGGTTAAAAAAAATTACATACCGTAATCAAAACTACAATTTTCTTAGTTTAGGCCTACAGCTGAATAAGACTGACATCCTTTTAAAGGAGGTAACTAACTAGGCCTAGTAATAGACTAACTATACAAACTAATTTCCAACTGTGATCACTTTTTGTATAATACACAAAAAACTAATTTGCGTCTAGCGAGGCAATGTTTACTGTACAAAAAAACCAGTTTATGAAATAAACAGGAAAATATTTATAAAATAGGAGGGTAGTTTTTTAAGTAAGGGTCGTTTGTGCGTATAGCTTTTTAGTTTCAGTGTACGCCACAAGGACGCTCCTCGCCGTTTACTGGCATCATTTGTGAACAGAACCTTTCAATTTGCAGCTATGTACCATTTTCTCTGTGTCTAGGCAATTTTTGTATTATTGAATCTCCCACCAGGAAAATGGCCAGGAAAATGTCCGTTTCGGAAAGAACTGTGTTTTCATGGGTACCCAGACTTTCCACAGAAGGCAACAAAGGAAAACTGTTTTCAAGCCCTAACCTATTTACACTCCCTAACCTATTTCCGCACTTTACCCTCACTAAAATTGCATTAGAACCATAAGCTTTATCCTATTGACGATGAATGTTGGTACTGGATCAGTTATATTACTTGTGGTCAAAAAACGTATTTAAAAAATTTTTAAACCCCACATTGAGGCATACACGTTAGCTACAGAGCTGCAAATGGTGCCATTCTGTTCATAAATGATGCCAGTAAGCGGAGAGGAGCTTCATTTAGGCATACACAAACTACAGAGCTATACGCAAAACCAGCTCTTATTTAAAAACACCAATCGAAACTAGTTTACGCCAAAAGCTATGTTTTCATATCAAATTTGATACTTACGAGCCATCATTCTTTCCTTGAGGTTCGTCCAGCTTAATGCCAACCCACCAGCCTGGTTTGAACTCTGTCTTTCCTGAGAAAATGTCAATACTTTGTTTATTCGTCACACATTCAAATTTGAACTCAAATGCAAAACGAATACAAGTTAAAGTAAAGAAGTTCAAAGTTAGCTTTTATTTTGCGATTGCAACAATTTTGAGAAGTAATAAGCGTACTGGTGGACTTAACGTCGTGGAGTAGTTTTAAGCTTGTCCCTGCATTGCAGCACATGACAGGCAAACTTTTCAGCAGGTTTAATTCAGTTATTCTCGCATTTACAGTGTACAGTATTATTTAGTACAAGTTAATAAAAAAATTAACTCCTTAAAATAGATTTAAACTATGAACAGTTTTATTACATAATACTTTACAAAAAAATATTAAATTTAATGATTATTTGTTGCTAAAATGTTTTTAAAACTTTGGGCAAGTCCAATTAACGTAGCAACCCCTACAGTGTACGCATGGATACTTAGCAAATTAATTTTTTTGTGCACAATAAGCTGTTCCAGCTGTGATGCAATCCCATGGTCACTTGTAAGCCTGACCCTCTGTTAAAAAAAAAAAAAAAAACTAGTAATACCTATAAAGAGTAAAACATTTAAAAGGAAACTTATAGAGTAGGCTTTACAAGGCTTTAAATTATTAAAAACACTTCTTGTTTAGAAGAGTTTCGCATTAGGCTACTGTAAAACCACGAAACCTAAAAATAATGGGGTGAGGCTTTCGGGTAACCTATTTTTGTCAGCTAATCAATGGTTAGCAATAAGGGCTACATCGGTCTACAACAACTATTTTTTAGATAATTTTAATCACTGACATCTTAAAATCTACAAATATTTGTGATAAATCTATAAATTGATTTACTTTATTTTTATCAAGGTATGAGATCAGTGTCGCCGTCAGCTCTATTACATTCCGTTGGCCAAACCCGGCCAACTACCATGGTGCCACGGATAATTTCTGTAACCTAGATTATTTTTAAATCAATTTGAATTTTTTATTGTGGCTTTGATTAGTCCGGGAGGTTTAACGGTAGTGGTGTAGTGGGACTAGTTTTTTTAAGAACCGATGGTAAGCAACCCGTATTTTTCCGCACTAACAGTGAGCGTTCCTGCACTTGAATATTTACGACCACACCACTGTTTAATGGTGTGCTAAAAGGAGTTTTACTACACACATACTTGTTTATACTCTATCTTCATTCCTTACCTACAAACATAACCTCTCCCCGCCTTTCAGGCTGGCCAACCACTCTCACCAAACATCTGTCATTCACTTTGATCTTCTCTGCCAACTTTTCTTCCATTTCCTCTTCCTTTTTCTTCTCCAACTCCTTCTTCTCTACCTCTTCTTTGTTGTATTTTCCAAGCCTGTTTCTTTCGAGGTACGCTTTGACTGTGTCTGAAACAATAATTTTTAGATTAAAACAAAAGAAACTATTATCATTTTAAATTATACACGTAAAAACTAGTGCTTGTTTAAAAAAGTGCTTATTATAATAGACTTCTTATTACTAAATACCTAACTTACAAGTAAGATTGTAAAACTGAAAGTTACCTTGTCGCTTTGCATATTCTTCTTCTGAGATGTCAAACTTTTCAACAGAAGCAGTATCGAGTTCTTTTCTTAAAATGAACGCATCCTCGATCTAAAAACAGTTAACTACAATCAGTGGTTTATTTTCAAATAAAAAGATTTATTGTTAAATAAAAAAAGGTTTAGGATAGTGAATGTTTAGGAAGGGAAGTGGGTGTTTTGTGACCAATGTCTATTTACACGCAATCTAAAGATGGGCTTATTTTTTTTATTTGGAGGTTAAGACTGACTTAAACTGGTACTCAAAATTCAATAGAATTTTTAAAGTGTGTACAGTAGACTCCCGACCATCCACGATGGCTAGTGATTGCGGGTAATCGAAATTGTGGATAACGCGAATCCAACCAAAAATGCCCAGCAAATAATTAATAACTTATTGACTAGAGATTAAGGTAATAATACAACATTTTAAATGTAGGCCTAATAATAGATACCTTTTAACTAGAATTCACACACATCTATTCACAAAACAAAAACTTATTGGAGGGCCTAGTAAAGACAAAAATTAAAACACAAAAAAATGTAACTTGTCAACTTATCGATTATAATTGGTGACTTATTATTACTCGGTAAGGTAAACAACGGCAATTTTATAGTAGGCCCACACGTTGATGGGCCTCCTCACACGAAACAACTTGGCCGTTGCTAACATAGGCTACATTTAATTTGTATTTGCATGATATATTGTATTTATTTAGATTTGTTGTGATCGTTGTTAATACGCAGTGTGGTTAATCTACTTGTGGATAATCAGGAGTATACTGTGTACTTACACAATTAGGGTTCCCAGGGACCCTCCATCAAAAAAGAGGACAAAATTACTCACCAAGGGTGGTCCTAGTCATATATTTGGGGGGGGGGTTACCAGGGGGGCCTGGGGGTACGGGAAAAATTTGGAAATAACGTGCTAAAATTAGTACTTTTTAAGCTATTTTGAGGACCTAGTTTAATGTGTTCAAGCTTCCCAGTTTATTTTTTAAAGGTCAAGAAATGTTAAAAAATAAACTTGTTCTCGTATAATGTCATGTTTTTTTTTTTTTTTTTATTGAGACTTGTGGTTTTAATATCAAAGGAATACCGCAAAATTACAACACATTCAAGCATGTTTGATTTACAAAAACACCCTGGTGCCTATGTGCATGCTAAACAGAAATTGTCCAAAATCAGACCATGATTTTGAACTAGAGAACATATTTTATCTAAGAAGTGTTTAAGAACTAGCACCCAACACGACTGCATTATACCTGCCCAGCAAGCAACAGTTCATGTCGACCACGCTTAAAACAAGTAAACTTTTCTTTCAACTTTTCTGAAAATACACATTTTCTTTTCGGCATTAGGGTAGGCCCTAGGGACGATCAACACGGACAAATTAAAAAGTAAGATAATTATTTTTAAGTAGGCATGTAACATGTAAAGTAAAGTAAGCAAGTAAGCAGACGAAGAGCTAGTCACTGGTCGACGGCCGACGGTCGCTAGTATGCTACTGGCCTGGCAAACTGGCTACTAGTGAGCAGAGTTATTCAATTTCGCCTTCCGTTCTGTTTTGTTCTACAGTATTTCCAATGGATTCTAGCGTACGTTATACACGAAATTTGACCTAAAGAAAGAGGAAATGACACTTTTATACGTAAGATATTATTAAAGTGTAGTATTTTAACTTAGTTTAATGTTATGATGACGATTAATTATAAAAGCTAATTGCTAATATTAATACTTGCAGAAATATTTTTTTATTTTCTCACAAAGTCAAAATCCCGGACATTTGAAAGTATTGCCAAAAATCCCCCCGTACGTTTTTTTTGTACCCAAAAAGAGGACGTGTCCGGGAAAAAGAGGACGTCTGGGATCCCTATACACAATTAAAAGTAAAGCAGCAACATCACTGTCTTTCATGTAAGTATTTATGTAGCATAAGCATTTATGTAGTTTTCATCATTTAATACACACATACTGTTAATTGGTTGTGTTGCAAGCCTAGCGGTTAGCGTCTCGGACTTCGGTGCGGGAGGGACGGGTTCAATCCCCGGCACATCCACCAAACATTTAATCTCTCGTAACTTCTCTTGTGAAATGCCACTGGCGTAGAAAAAAAAAGAAAAAAAAAGAAAAAAAAGAAAAGAATACAAATATACACACAATATACCTAGTGCTGAAGTGCTTCGTTGGGAAAGGCTGCCCAGTTCGGATGAGCACTATAGAGCCTATGGAGACGAAGCCAAGTAAGATTAAATGAAAAAGTAAGGCCAAGAAAATACAACCATCAGACTCAAAGGATGATTGAAAGAAAATAAGGTTATCAGGGAGAAACAAATTGACAAACTAACTACGGTAGTCTTTTATCAGACCACAAAAAAAGCTTATTAAGGTAGTGTTTACAAAAAAATACTCATTTTGATGTTAGGTTGCGCCTGGGCCAACAGTGGAAACTTACATGAAACCTCATTCCATCGTCTATCGGATAAGATCCCAGCAGAGCGTCATCATTGTCGAGTGTGCACACAAGCTCGTTGTCTTTATTGAAAACTTTGATTTTCATCGTGGCTGTTTGAGCTCCAGTAAATACCTCAAGTTTTTCCTGAAAAAATATAATTTTTTATCATCCTGAAATAAATTTAACAAACATTTAGGCTTTTTATTAGGCTTTCATTCATAAACCTGAGAATTCTAACCTGTTACAGGCTCAGATTGACCCTCGTTGACGAACTAGGCCAAACTGAACCCATACACCACTACAAAAAAAGGGAGGAGGGATTATTCTAGTGGTTAAATACTCTTATAAGTTTACTACACCGGTGAGAGAACAAAATAGATTCCTTTTTATGAGTCATTAATTTGTTTGAGGGTTAACGAGAAATTAGCCTATAACAATTTCTGGTCCACGTTGAATTTTTCACCTTTCAGTAGGCTACCTACGTTAACAATTAAAATAGCCGCAGTGAGCGAACTACTTTATAGCCTAGTCGGACTGAGTTACTTGTGCTTAGGTTTTCAAGAAGTTTGTACTAGAGTGTTACAAAAAGTAATCCCGATGAAACTGTTTCATTAACGGTCAGCAAAATTTAGGCTACAATATGGAAACGCATAACTTAACGAGTCATTAGCTAGGCCCTAGGGTAGTCTATTTAATAAATGCAAACAATATTAAATATTAGTCCTATATAGGCTATACTTATCTAAATTATTCTTGATTACTGCTTGAGACCCAAAGTGCGCTACAGACAGCTGCTGTACCTACAAATATGCTAGCCTATGTGGCCATCGCCGTTCGGGCTCTTCCTTGCTCGATACTAGTACATTTCTGCCCCAACATATCAGAGCTAACTTAAAGGTGCACGGTTCCACAGTTGTCCCATAGGCTTGTAGTATCCTCTGTATCCTACTTCTCTGTGGGCTCACGCCCACTGGAAAGTGAGCATGTGGACAGTAGCCTACTGGACTCTCATAAAACACTACAAAAACGAAGAGAGTATGCTTACCTTTGTCTCAGCAACTGTTATACCCTTATTAAATCTCTTTTCCAAAAGACAGGCAACTTCATCATAAGGTGTTGTAATACTGACATTTAGAAAATCACCAGTTTTCACAGTTATAATTTCGGACATTTTTTAAAGGAGTTTGTAAAAACTATCCAAGATAATATTTACTTCGCGACAATTAATTAATTTTGCTTCTATCTAGTTCGCTATTCAGTTCAGAGACGGTGTTGTCAAATACACTACACAGTTAGTTTCCATAAGCAACAGAATAATAAATGGTGTTTGAGTTTGAGGTTATGTTTTCAAGCAGTTAGTTTTGGATTTTGGTTACCATGGTTTTTTTTATAAATTAGGCCTACTTAAAGCTGGGATTTTTATTAACCATTAAACTCTACATATTAATATTTACATAAGCCAATAAATTCATATACAGTATCAGTATTTTGCAAAGTAATTAATATTTACGTCTATTGAAAATATTTTACTAACTGATACGACAAGAATAGATAGTTTTGCATTTTAAATAAGATCGTGCTAAGTTAATAGGTATATTCTGACATTTAAATTATAAAATATCAAAGTGCCCATTGTGCTGGGTGGTGACGATGTAATCGGAATGATGTACTTTGGAGGTATATAATCAATGCTAATATTAACGATGGACGTGGAATCAACATTCGACACGTATGCAAAAACTAGAACAAACTTTTTAATCAATTGTTTTTTTTTTTATATTCATAGATGAACTAATACCTATATTATAAATATCTATGATAGAATGATGGGGTGTTTTAAATTGTTTCAGTTGAAATCCGCGTAGGCCTACAGTTTATTACAGTTTCAATGTGGTTTCAATACAATTCTTGCGAAAAAGTATTAATTTAATATTTTGCATTTATTAGCAGATTGATTATTCATGGTCTATTTTTTTCTGGTTTCTAAATACAGTATCCGTCAAAATGAACAGTACTACAATGGTCATATTTTATTCATTTCCAGTACCTAGTGTTTATTTTAGCGAATATAATAAGTGTTTTATTTAAGGTATCCACTATCCACTATTCACAGAACACAGCAATAATACAACTTACAAAAATAATCTTTAAGGATAAGAATGTTTTTTAATTTGTCTGGGTAGCTGAGGTTTTAGTACGCTTAGGTATATGTTGCTGTTTCGAAACCAAGCAAGATCGTTTCTACACCAATGCTATTTTTCATTGGGCTACATTGCTAAAGTTTGACGTTATATAGTAACAAGACGAAGACCAGGGTTTGGATCGTTCCCTTAAGGAAAAATTAAAAATGCTTAAGGCAGGTACCTATATATATATATAACAATACCCTGACACCTGTATGACAACGGCAAATTTGAAGAGGTCGAGGAAGTTATATAGGACATACACTTACTGTATAAAATATATATTTTGATACAAAAAACAATATGACAAGAATGGCGATGTATAAAAAGGCACTTACTCACTGTAGGTTTTAAAATTCCTTAATATAGTATCTAACAACCAACAGCTCAACATATCCAAACCAAATGAGTTCATACAAAGCTTATAAAGTAAATAGATCATATAGAATGTATAAAATATATATTAAAATAACAACATGACAACAAAATAGAAATATGTATGTATAAGCAGATAAAACGTATTCCCTTAGTAGATTTCTTAACCTTATAGATCAGCTGAAGACAATTTTATTGTTAGTTCCGCCCAGTGCACTTTAGATGGTGTGTATAGTTTTGATTACAATTTTTGTCTTGTTATTCCAGTCATTTAAAACGTCTGACCAAATAAGACGATCTAGTCAAAAACAATAACTCGTCCCCTACTTTTGTAACCAAACAGTAAAGCACAAATCATAAAATTAAAAACCCTAAAAAAAGAAACAAAATTTTTTCAACACAAGCAATCAGTGTCACTAACATGAACTAGACACGAAAAACGAGCTTCAAAATTCAGAATGGGATGAGAACATAGGAAGTGAGGCTTCACAATTACTAACACAAAGTCCTTTGTCTTCTGGCTTCTGGGTACGACCGCGTCGGAAAACTAGGAGAAACACTAGTTGCTGACGTTTCGGCTTCGTTGCAGATAGTCATCTTCAGAGCAGGTAACAGGCACTAACCAGTTTTAAATTTGTTCACTAACTGGTTAGTGCCTGTCACCAGCTCTGAAGATGACTATCTGCAACGAAGTCGAAACGTCAGCAACTAGTGTTTCTCCTAGTTTTCCGACGCGGTCGTACCTAGAAGACCAAGGACTTTGTGATGGGATGAGAAGTTTAATTGTGTTGGTTAGTCTATGAAATAAGGCACTAATTCACTATTTTTAAATTTTCTAAATATAGTATATCTAACAACAAATAGCATATCAAGAACTAAGTGAGTTTATACAAAGCAGATAATAAACATTTTAGGCGAAGCCAAAATGATCCAAAACATTTACCGTGAGAGTGATCCATTGTCGATAACTTTTATTTACTCACTTAATAGTCAAGTTAAAAGAAATTAGAGCAATTAAATTTTGTTTGGTAAATACAACTTTTTCAAGTCTACAAGTTAGATTGTGTATCAATTTTAATGACTACCGTATTGCAAATCCACTTGTCTTGGTTACTAAAACAATTTCACAATTACAGTTTTAACTAATGAATGGTATAATACATTCTAAATACATCCTAAATATTAACCATTCAAAAATGTGTACGTAACTATAAAACAACCACTAGCCTAAGTCAAAAGCTTAAAAATGGTAATAAAACAATATTATAGGCCTAAGATTATGAAGTTATTGGTCCCTTAATTTGAGCTCTAATACATTTTAATCTGTTTGATAAAACAAATGAAACGAGAAAAGAAAGAGCTTTTCACTATGATCAGCTGATACTTCTTCCCGATAAATTATTGGTAATCCAATCATCAGAATACCAGTAACCTCCAAACTAATAAAATCGTTTGTTTACCTAATTGCCTTCTGATGATGTTTGGACCCTGAAACGTTTTTCAAAAAGGAATGAGGTCATCAGAGTTAAAATACAAAACCAACCATAAGATAATTAACCGATAGATTTGGCCCTTAAACTGTAAAACACCATCAGATGCTTAAATACAGGATGTTCAGATTTAGAGGGGGGGGGGACCTCCGCTTAGTGTCCAATTAGTCCTTGAGGTAAATTTGACTATATTCTATTAACATACAGTAGCATTACAGTTGGTTAACTAAGCGTAACTTTGGTCTTTTATGCTATTCATGAAGTTAGCCGCAAATCGAGCTCTAATTTTAACATCACTAAAGTAGACAATTTCAGTTGGTCAATTAATCAGCTGATCTTGGTGAAAATGCTTCCATTCTGCTGTCTTAAACCTTGACCATGGTGTTATAGAGCTTTGAATTTCAACAATTAACAACAATAACACACGTCTGTGTGCTAACTCCTCTTAGAATAAAGATAGCTAGATGGTAATACATTGAATTGAACAACTAAATATTAAGCTATATGATAAAGTACTTTTTCTGGCTGGCTGCAGCAAACTGTTGAAGTTACATCATGTCTTTGCTTCATTTGCTTGCTGATATTTGCGATATTGTTCCAACTCAACGCCTTCCCAATGATGATTATCGGCAGAGTTGAAAAACCTGGAAATGAGTCAATGTTTTAAAAGGGTAATTAATCTTATGATCTGTAAGGGGAGGACCGAGGTCCCAAGGTGCTTTATCCGGATGTCATATTGTTGCGCACCCCAGTCAGTCGATGTCTTTAGAGACTTTCAATGTCCAGTTATTTGATGAATGGCTGCATTCTACACAATTATCTTTGAAAGGTGATAGCCAAGATCAGTCTGTTTTACTAGCTCCTCACAATCAAAAAGGTGTTTAGCAGCATTTTCTCTGCCTATAAGTTATAGTGGGTCTTCATAATGCAATCCTATTTTATTTAAAAACTTTCTGAACCGTCCATGCCCGGTAATCAGTCCTATTGGAGAGCGAGCTGGTGTAGTGGTAGAGCGCAGGACTTCAGTCACAGAGGTTCCGGGTCTAAATCCCACCAATCACCAATGGATTTGATCTAAGTTATAATGCCACAACCCCCTCTAGAACTAGTCTGAAATAATGTAGAAATCAGAACTAATAGGAATAAAACATCCAGTCCTATTGTTAAGTAAGGATGTACTGTATTATAATATTTTAAAGAGATGTTCACAGATTATAGCCTACTTACTTCTGCCTAACTTCGTCTAGAACGCTACACTCTTGCTGGGAGAGTCCTTCCGTGGTTATCTTCAGGTTGGACTCCAGTTCTTCTAGCGTCTTCATGCCCACAAGGTAGGAGCTATAACCGGGCTGATGCATGGAATGATAAACGGAAAGGTTCCCCAGCTCTACGCCTTTATCCTACAAGACATGTCAGTGTTACTTGTGACGAAAAACATTGCACTTTTCAAATACCAAAGTAGCAAGGCACAAACATTCAAAATGCAGTATGTCTGGAAATGATGTAACTGAAGTGATCGTAAGTAATTTTAGAAAATAGAATGATAATATCTTACTAAGATGCAGTACGATGGTATATTAATTAAAGTTAGATGGCAACAGTAATACAATTATTGCAATTTTACACAAAAAATCTTACAACTGTATGAACAATGAAAGGCAGATAAAAATAATAAACTGGGCAAAGTAATAACTAAACATATAATGTTTAGGATACTACTGTCATTATCATTATGTCTGATATAAGTAAAGTTTATTTTCATTTTATTCATTTCTCATTATTATTTTTTTTTAAACTAAAACTAATTTAATTTAATACAACTTAATATTAGTAAAAGTCTGTTTTGACAAAACACTTCATTAATCTTTTTTTTTTGTCAGCATCGCATATGTTACATGTAATCAAAAACGTATTACTGACCTTACCTTGGATGCAGCAGGAGATTTGATGGTTTAAAAAAAAATCAAAATCCACAGCACAGAGCTGCAATTAGTGTCATTCTGTTTACAAATAATGCCAGTAAGTCGTGAGAAGCCTCGATGCGGTGTACAAACTACGGATTTATAAGTAAAACCAGCTTTAATTAAAATACCACCTTTGTACCTACATGACAGTTGCATTCCCAACATTAGGCAAGGTATATAAAAATGTAATACTCACCTTACAATACTGTCCTGCGTCACGGCAGATTGTCTTGAGCTTGTCTGTAGCTGGGTGCCATTCTGGAGGTCCTTGATTGGTCAATAGACCCATTCCTGTCAGTGAAGCGTTGATCAATCGAACATCATGAGCCTGCACAGTGTCAAAAAAAATTGAAAATCACTAGTTTCATGAGTTTTACAACACTCTTTGAGGGATTTCAGGTAGACTTAACCGTTAAAACTCTAAATGCTGAGATACCAGACACAATATTACTATAAACAAACTTCCACCTAATAGTTTGTGGGAGTATAACTCGGAAAGAAAACAACAAAAAACAGCTGAAAGCTAAAACTGTTCTTCAATCGAGTTTCGAGACGTACATGTAACTCATATATACATGCTGTTTTGGTTGAATAGGGTTGTTACCTTGGTAAACAGTTTACTTCTGATCAATAACTGAACAGTCTATGGTGTTGCCTCTTAGAGGGAGCAAGCTCGTCTTGTGGTAAAGCACAGGACTTCGGTCCCCAAGGTCCCAGGTTAAAATCCCGCCAATCACTAATGGATTTTATACAGCCTAAGTTATAATGGTGTGACCTCATCTAGGCCTAGCCTGAAGTAATGTGGAAAACAATCTCTTGGGCCAGGGAACAGCACTGTCGTTTTTAGGGGTTGAATCTCGTCTTAGTTGGCAATTGATGGAGTTACCATCTGTTAAAGAGCTTAGTGGGAGAAGCCCACCTGAAATAAACGGTAGTAGGCTTAGGTTGAAGTTAAAGAATGGGCGGGGTATTTGTTAGTAGCTCCTCAAATTGCTGTTTTACCATTTACTATTTTTAGCTTATCGTTCCTGCATGTGTCCAATGAAAACTTTTTTGGGTCCATAATATTAGGGAAAATGTTTTGAAAATACATGATTATATCGCTAAATAACTTCTTAATCAGCATTGAAGGTGTTATTAAATTTAAGTGTTATAAGACGTTTCTTTTATTTACTTTCCGTTTATCGCTGAATAACCCGTGGAGTTTAAAGAAAAATTAACTAATGTTACTAAATCTAAGGAATATTCACTTTACGGTTACCAGACTGATCACTCTAATTTTTATCTGTTGTTTTGAACTGTTGATTGTCACTGTTCCTTTCCAAAAGTCACAAAAAGCCTCAAAAGCAAACAAAATATGATTATCAAACTATGATTTCAACTAAATACCTGGAAAAATGAAGCATATTTTTTCAAAGTACTATCAAACAGGCAGTCCCGGGCGTAGGAGAGTACAACATCTATCTTGACTGGGGATTTCTCTACAGCTTCCCACAGAAGTGAGACTGGATAACCAGATACTCCAAGGTATTTGGCTTTACCCTTATCCACTAGACTCTGAGCAGCTGGCAGCGCTTCAGTCAATATCTGCTTCCACGGCCCGAACTCAATGTCATAAACCTAGATGGTAACAAATTGTATAAAACTTTGTCGCAAATTTCAAACTTTTTTATGGTGCTAAACTGATTCACTTTTCATTTTTCGCTAAGTCGGATGCTCAGTTTTGTAATAGTTTCGTATGCAACAGTTTCATACTAAACAAAAACTAAAGAATAACGTAAGCTAACCACAGGCAGTGTCTGTCTTTATGGTAGAGTATGGATTGTTTAATTGTTTGTAATTAATTGCTTGGTTGTAAATAGGTTGTTTGACATATCGATAGTAAAATGTGTACCAACACAATCGTAATAGACAAAATGATTAAATAACTAAACGGCTGCTTGTTTCCATTATCAAATTAAATTTAAAACAAGCTAGAAGTATTTTTGAGAGGTTATCTTTAAATAAAACTATTTAAGTTTTGTAACACATTTTCTTCAAAATAATGGTGCAATATGACAAAAAATATAGTTCATTATATCGGCTTCGCCTGGATCGTAAACTTGAGCTCTGGTCGTAAAGATTCACTTTAGGCCCTAGTGATTATACTATTTCTTAGCACCCTGAGCAGGTTTTGCTTTTTCAATTAAAATTCCATAAAGTCATAAACATTATAACTATACAGACATTATGTAGCCTACTAAATACAATGTACCGTAGGACTAATAATACTTACAAAAAGAATATCTACGCTTTCCAAACCTAAACGCTCTAAGCTTTTTTCAAATTCTGATATGATTCTTTCAGCGGAGAAATCAAAAAAGTCTGCCCATGATGTTCCGTAACGCCCAACTTTGGTGGATATATAGTAGGCTTCACGAGGGATTTCCTTCAAGGCCTAAAATCAGAAAGACTGTCTACATTTATTTCAAAGAACACACTAGAGGTAACAGGGGGTAGACCTCCGTACGCTGTTGGCACAAACAGCCGAATGAAAATATCGATCAATATATCATTTAACTTAATTTGATATATCGTTTGGTTGGTTAGGTAAGGTTAACAGACAACAGATACGGAAGTATACCCGTAACAGGATCTAGTAAACTAGTAAAGGCACTTTAGCATAATTTTGAGTTATCTTTATTAAAAATAGAGTGAGGCTAATCTTTAACATAGGCCTACAAGAATGTTATCAGCATGACATTAATAATATCAGAACGTATATAAATAGTTTTATTACCTTGCCAATTAAAATCTCAGAAGAAGTGTGTCCATAATAGGGAGACGTATCAATGTAATTGATACCGCGTTTGATTCCTTGTCTTACCAATGATATACCGTCATCCTCATTAATTTTCCTAGAAAAAATTACATTGTAGCCTAAATCAACTGTAATGGCCTATGCTTAGGATGGTTAGTAAAATAACTTTCTATAAAATATATGTCCAATTTAAAATTATATATGTTTGGCCCAACAAGAATTATTTCAATGTTTTAAAATTTTAATTAGGCCTACTCATCTTGGGGATTGTTCATTCCATGTTACCAACCAAGCTTCTTAAAAAACTCTTGGTCTAGATTTTGATAGGTACTAAGCATGCTTATTTCATTTTTTGTTATTGTTTTTGATCAAAATGGAAACTTAACATGTTTTATCAACGTTCTCCAGTTATTTTTTGGTACTTAGTGTTAGCGAATTTCCCATATAGGGAATAAGCTATTTATTATAGTGGCACTAGCCAGTAGCCACTAGGTATCCAAAGCACCCGGTATGGCAATGTATTCACTTGGGAAAAAGCTACAGTTATATTTATTAATGAAACAATACAGGATATTAAACTTGTTTATATTACTGCCAGGCCCGCTTTTTTAAATGGGCAGACTGGGCATATGCCCAGGGGCACAGGTGGTTTGGGGGCACCAAGCGGGCGCCCACTGGCTACTTCAGGCGCCCACTGGGTGCCCTGAAACCACTGACCGCCAGCACTGAGAAAAAGGTCCACTGCTCTTGGGTTTGCCCAGAGCTACACTGACCCTTAACGCAGCCCTGATTACTGCAGAAATTATCTGCGTTGGTGAATAAGAAACAGAAAACTAAGCTAACTTACTGGGCATGCCTATGGGTTATTTATGGAAATTATTGTAAGTTATAAATGAAAGTTTGTGCCTACCCATAATGATTGCCAAGGGATCCGCCCCCAATACCAAGTTGAGACAAGCACAACTCAGTACTCCCTGTCCCACGAATGTACACCATTTTTCTCAAATCACACTCTTCGTGGAAACCCTCAACGTACGTAGTGGGCAATTCCATTTTTAAACAGCTTGGGCAAACCTAATACAGAAACAAAACGAATAACTTAGCCTATTACACAACTTGAACAACGTTTGCCTATGTAAGCTTAAAACCTGATTAACATAGCCTAGCTTAATCAGGTTTCTATGATGAACATTGAAGTGAATATTAGTACTGAACAAGCAAATTAGGTCAACTAGGCCTACAATAGCATAATTGTTAATGCACTACTGTAGTAGGCTAGGCCTACTCCAGGTAGAGAAATAAGTTAGTTATATCACCAGACCTTAGGCCTATCGTTAACATAAGTTATAAAAATATCGTTTTGTTAACAAAAATGTTAGGTTTGGCTCAAAACACCTTATAGCGCTCCAAAAAATAGTATTATTAACTAACTAAAAATCCTAACCTAACGAATGATAACTGTAATTGTTTATTATTTATTCACTGTCACTCACTGTGTGATAGCGATAGCAGCTGATGAGATGATTGATAAGAAGACCAACAAGCGGTTTTTGTCTTGGTTGTTAGGCAGGCTTATTTTGTATGCAGCTTCGTTGTGCTTAACTTTTTTTTAAGATTATTATTTATGCGTTTTCCTGTTGGCTTTGGTATTAATTGATAATGTAGGTTTTCGTTTGTTTTATGGGTTTTCATATTTTGAGGCCGTCCACAGATTACGTAACGCTCAATTATGGGCCTCGTTTGACTTGGCGTTACGAAGGAGGGGTAGGGGGTTTTAAGACCTTAGGTAACGCACTAACGTTTTTTTTCTAAAGCACCAAAATGATTAAATTAATTAAAAACAGTCTTTGTTTTAAATAGTATTAATAATATAAGTTAAATTTTCATTGATGTATGAAACATCGGCACCAGTTGAAAGGGTATTTTTGTAAATCAATAATGCTTGAATGTGTTGTAATTTTGCGGCATTCCTTCGTTATTAAAACCACAAGTCTCAATAATTAAAAAAAAAAACAAAAAAAAACAGGACATTTTATAAGTTTACTTCAAAAAGCTTCTTTGACCTTTACATAAATTGGGAAGCTTGAACACATTAAACTAGGTCAACAAAATAGCATAAAAGCCACTTATTTTAGCACGTTATTTCCATTTTTCCCGGGGGGAGATCCCCGGACCCCCCTCCTTTTCTGGGGGAAATTCCATACCCCCAGACCCCCCGGTGATTCCCCCTAAGTATATGTCTAGGACCTCCTTGACCTCATGACGACCCTGGGTTGAACACGATTGCAAGTAAGATAGATCTGAATTTTGTACTGTTAAACTACTATAATGTACTTTTTTCAGAGGTGCTGTAAAAAAACAGTAATTCGGGGGCTAAAAAACTATTTGAAAATTACAACTCTCCTTTGCTTAAAACTTGTATTATTTTGTAAATGGTGTATCAGTTGATATAAATAAATAAAATGTAAAAATACAGCTTTATTTTAAGATATTCAGCGATCCACTAGGATGATAGCCACAAGGTAGCGTGTTTCCGCTTCAGTAAGATTAATCCCAGGAAACCTTGTAATCAAATTAGCCTCCTTAAACGGTCGGATATACCGACACTGTATATGGAAGTATGCCAAATATCTTTGAACTGACAGACTTTAAAATTCTAAAAAATTTGTTTTTTTACTTATTGATTTGATTATATTAAGTGAATTATCATTCTGTTGCAATGTATATGAAATCTGGGGTCTGGAGCCTATTTTTTGCCGTGTTTATGGCTTGAATCCATTGGATATCAACTATACACATACCCTTTACAATTACAGCCTCGTTACATTTGGTAATTTGATCATAGAAGACAATGAGTTAAAAACGTTTCACAACTCTTACTAGCTTTCTCAGCACTAATAGTACATTTCAAACAAAATCTTTTAAATTTGGTTTTAAAAATTCAAACAAAACATAACTAAAATTCACCCTTTTTATAATTATTTTATTTTGTTTTTGTATTCATATTTCTCTAAACCATGGCTGTAAAAAAATTGGCCATTTTCAAGTCCAAGGGTAAAAATTTAAAAACAACCAGATTTTGGAAAAGTTAAAACTACAAATTCCTAATGCCATTACTTCATCTTGCTGATTCGCTAACTCATCCAACAATCCAAGTGTATGCAGCCAATTAAATAATAAACTTAATCCAAATCGGGCCAAGGGACGCTTATTATATACATAGATAATAGATATATACACATATTAAAAAGGGTACTTTGTTAACTATGTTTTCATTTTTATTATATTAGTAACCCTAAACATGCAAGAAAATATATACATATATGTATGTAAAACTAAATAGTGTTTTTAACCCATGGGGAAAGAAAATTATGCAGTAAATTGATTGCCGGGTCTAGGTCTTAACTCTAGACATGGCAAGACCTTCTTCCCTATAGGGAAATTTGCTAAAAGGGACCGACACTCAAGTTTAATTCCTTGAACAAAAATTTACTCAGCCTCCTTTTTTTACTTCAGAAATATGTGAGTAAAATTCTATTTTGTTGTACTAGATGCCTACTGCTGATATTTTAGGGGTGAAACATGAATAAAAATATACAAATGGAACAACATAAAACTTTCATCCTTTAATAGTATATCAACAAATCGACTCATAATGTATAGTAAATTAATAATCTTAAATAACACTACCACATTTAGTATGGTACACCTTAAAAGATTGAAAAATTAGTCGATTTAGTTTTACGACAGTTTACAATCTTCTCAAAATAAATAAACTTATTTTATTCCGTTTATAAATTTATTCTAATGGAAAAAAATCTTGAAAAACACTTTTGCTTAAATATATTTACTAAGACTAGAAAGAAAAACTTAACCAAATACATTTCAAAATATTTTTTATTGGAGAAAACCATAGCCCCCTCAAATAAATTAGAGGAGGCCGTAAAAAAAACAAAAATTTTTGTTTTACCTTATCTATTCACATTTATCAAAATTATTTATGATGTGTAAAATATGTGTATGTATACTGTTCAGGCTTTTAATTCTCATGACACTTGAATTATTCCAACATAGTAAACTATTCATAGACTGCAACACAAAAATATATTTTTCCAATACTACCTCTTATGAACATATACTGTAAAAACTATTGCTATAAATCCTTCATCTAAAAAAATTGACTCATTTTACAAAAATCGTTTGCAACAGACAAAAATGTCAGTAGAAACAAGTCTTAATTGGATAAATTTATATTTACAATATATCACACCGGTGTCATAGGAAAACGTTAATTATCACTGAGTACAAAATGAATAATGTACAATATACATCTACTTTATCTACTATATACACACTAATGGAGGCTAAAATCAAAATATGTTGTTAAGAGTTTACGTTGGAAGATTGAGAACCAGTCACCAGAGCTGAACCTTTACTGCTTCAACAGGCCTTAGTTTGGGTATCAACTAGCACACCCCTCAAAAATGCAGGTTTGCCAAAAGTGTGAGAAATCCCACTTCCTACCTCCCCTCTCGCCCTCTGTTCTCCCCTTCACTTGACCATACCTTCATCCAATACCTGTTCTGATACTTAAGGTGAGAAAAGGGCTTAGCCAAGTTTTGAATTTTTTATGGTCACTAAGATAAGGGTTCAATAAGCTCTGTGAACGGATCTCCTATATCCAAAAATGATATTCAAACCTTTAAAATGTTTTGATACTCTTAACTTTGTGAGACTTTTATAGATTTCTCACTTTTTGTTATCATCTAAACTGTTTAGTGTTTGTAAATCTTAACTGCTTATTGTTCTCAAAGTTGGAACTCAATAATAATATTAATATAAAAACTCTATATGCACAGCAGTATAATAAGGAACTCAAATAATATTGGTGATGATACAATATATTTTTATAAATCAGGAAAGATCCTTGACTCCAATTTTCATCTGTGAGAGAAAGAGCAGCATGAAAAAGTTGTTTTAATGACATGTGGCTTTTCACTGAGATCACTATTATTTTCCTACAATGTTTAGGAAGGAGCATACTTTATTATGATTAAGGTCTATGGAAGCATTATAAACCATAAACATGTATATAAATCAAAATTTTTTGACAAGGCCAACAACTATAATAACATATTTAGCACCAAATGTTTCTATGAATGTACGTTAGGCCTATGGTTCAGTTTGGGGTAATTTTCACAAAAGGTGAGATTAATCTGTAGGATTTATCAAAATACGGTAGATTACAATAATATACACTCACCTTGCATTCATATTCCGCATGAAACACACCTAAAAGTAATTTATAGATTTATAGAGCACTATGTCTGACAAATTTATAGATTGATACAAAATAACTTTTAGAGTTGATTAATAAAAAAAAAAAACAGTATTTTAATTATACAAAAAAATTAAGGTAATTCTTTATGTATAACTGAAAATAAAAAGGTCTTCGATTTAGATTAATCATGTGAAGAATTAGATAAACCGATGAACCACAATAATACAATTCTACACAACTCCGATATTGCTTCAGTGTTCTTCCTTTATGTTTTCCAGCTTTATATCCTTATGATGATTTTTTATGTGCTCTTCAAGAAGATATTTACGTGAGGTCCTTTTACCACAATGCATACATTTCAGAGGCTTGATTTTACTATGCCTCAGTCTATGTCTAAGCATTGCGCTGCGTTTTATAAAGGTTTTTTTACATATATCGCAGGGGAACTTTTTATTCTCTCTTAAATGTCCATATAGAACATGTGCTTCCAGACTATTCTTATATTTAAATCCTTTTTCACAAACATCACAAAAGAACCTGTCGTAAGTTACATCTAAGCCTTCGTGAATGGTTCTCTGATGTTTCCTCATACTTGTCCTATGTTTAAATGGTTGACCACACTCCTCACAAAAGAAATATGTGGTTCTGTGGGCATTCCTCACATGCACTTGTAAATGTATCTTAGAGGGGAACACTTTTTTACAGTCAAAACACTTTGCTTGCATATATTCTTGTGGTTGATGCTTGGCTAAAATATGTCTTTTTAATTTAGAAAAGTTGCAAAAAGTTTTAACACACTTGTGGCAAATGGGTCTCTCACTAGATGGTTTTGATTTTCTTCTCGTTCTTCTAACACTTTTCCTTTTGTAAGGTATATAAGAATCATCTTTGTATTTTTCCACAGAACAGTTGTCACTTTCAATTCCCGATTCTTCAGATGATGGGAGCTCTTTGGCAACATCAAATATCTCTATTGTTGATTTGTTCTCCAAATGTTCATCCATTGTATCGTCATTATCACTTCCATTTGATTTTACATCCTCTAGCTTATGATGTTCCTTATCATTTCCACTTTTCTGCAATACATATGTATCCTGAAAAATGAAGAAAAACAAGTTAGTTAAACAACAAAAATATAAACTAATACAATCTTAACTGTCAAGTGATTTATATTTATAAACTAGTTAAAACACAGCAAAATTCTATTAAAGTAAAAGAAGAAACAATTTCTAGTCAAAATATTTTTCTTTAGATTTTTTTAAAGATGGAAAATATTGATGTAGGGTAATAATTTTTAAACAAGCCAGGCCTGAAAAGATATGTGGAAATATAGTGTCAGAATTGACTAAAATGAGAGTTTAAATGAATATAATCTAAAGAATAATATTATAGTAAACCTATTTTTACTACCTTGTCAGAGTGGTATATATATGCATGTGAACATTTAAAGTTAATGGCATTACTAAAATATGTAAAATAATCACGTTGCAATAATAAGCTTTATTAACAAATATATCCAGAGTATTTACCTTGCTAACCAATCTGATTGGTAGATGTTTTAATTTCTTGAAGTCGTATAAAACCACAACTGCATCCTTAATACCATAAGAGATCAGTTTAGCAGACGGATGCTGTAACAGTGAACTACAATGTAAAGAAAACTGTTGGTAAAAATACATGAAAAATCAGTTGATCCGGTATATAAAAATACATAATAGCTCAAAATGGTAAAACAGTTTTGACACAAAAATTTAATTGAAGTAATTTCATGTCCTGTCCAGGGTGTAACTTATGTTTACACTCAGAACATAAGTTACACAGAAGATAATCATGAAAATATATTTTAAAACTATACTCCAGCAAGAAACTGTGCGTTACACATGTCATGTATGTAATAGTGTGACATGCTTTTAGACCAATTATTTTGACATTGGTCAGGGATTTGAAATAAAAAATATACAATAATGACTGTTGCCTTCTTTTGCATTCTGTATTGGCCATTAAAGTATTTTACATTAAATTTACTGTCATAATCTTATTGCATTTCGACAAACTAAGACGGTATTCAACATTAAAACAGGATATAGATAAAGGTAACTGTATACAAATAAGAACAATACACATTTCAGCAAACCATCTAAGAAAATCTCCAGTAAGAATTACTGAAATTTTATAAGAGCTTGTTCATAAAAAGAAGATACTGACTTTGATTAGCCACTATTATGAGTCACGCACTAAGGAATCAACCCTTCCTATTGATCTTAATGTTTACGTTCGCTACCACAATAGTACTAAATTTTTCATTCATATGGACCAACGATGCACATATGCAATGGCCGGTTTATACCCATAGACTGCCGTCGCATGCAACAGCTGGTCACATTATATTAGACTGACGTCAGTGATGTCGCATATTTGCGTCGGTATCCAATGTTATTAAAAAGCTTATATCTTCTTAACGGTGATTCTCTACAGTGTTATACAGCGATGTATGTAACATTTTATGCGAGTCACTTGGTCTGTGGATATGATGAATAATGACGTCACATTTCACATATATCAAAACAGATTTTTACTTTGCTGCATCATTGGCATCCGGTGTGCATACTGTTAGCCAAGTGATACTTGGTCTATGTGTAATATTAAAATGTTTACCTCGGGGCGTGGCAATGACCGCAGCATCGCAAACATGTGGCGATTGGTAGCAAACGTGTTAATGATGTCAGTTAAGCCTTTGATTAAAGCCACTTGACAAATTTGTGCATAGTCAAAACAAAAGCAGAAAATTGTCCTTCAATTGACAACTGCAAAGGGCCATTAAAACGTTGATTGATTTGTTGGCAAGAATCCTTAGTTGGACTGAATTCAATGGGCAAATTCTTTTTGAAAACATTTTGGCCCCTACAGCTTCTATCATACTAAAACACATGTTTGATTAACGCTCCTTTCACACTATACAGTTTTTTTCCATATGGGACACCTTTTAAAATAGTTTTAAGAAGAGCATGAGCTATCACACTACACAGTTACAGCAACGGCAAAAAACTGTGGGACTCAAATGGGAGCCAATCAATAACACGGAAGCTGTTGCACTGTCCCCCCCTGTTGATTGTGATTCTTACAATCTGGCATATAAATTAGACATTGTTTACGTTTATTGTAACATTGTAAACATATTCATGTTGCCGTATGGTGAAAAATTGTATAAGATGAGAAAGAAACACAGACAATACAGTACAGTTTTTAATTGTACGGTAAAACTATGGAGAAAGGAGCGTAAGCCTTTCACACATTTTGACATGTGCTTATTCAATTTCATTATAATTGTAGTCACGCTTGAGTGCAGATTACATATATAAATACCTGTAAATATATAAAATATTTTTCTAAAGTCGGGACCGCGTAAGTTTGCAGTTGGTGGCAGCCAATCACAAGACAAGGCTAGTGCGACGTTGCCACATCGTCCGTTGACAACATTAATTAAAATATATTTTCAAATCAGCTGGTATTATTAGATTTGGCAACACCGCATGGTTCTCATTGGTTCATTTAAAACCATACTAGCTGTAACCCGCGGGCTTTGCCCCGTTTAACTTCTTAATTTTCAAGATTATCTCGTTCGCATGGCTCAATCACTGTACATAATTATATACATAATTTAAAAAATTTGTTGAACTCCTAAGGAATTACTAAAAAATTAGTGATCCCAACCTAACCTTACATTATACCTTAACAAAATTTTTAATTTGTTAAAGAGCTGTCAAGTTTGGTTTGTTTTATTTTGGTAAGTACCGGTACGGTAATATATTACAATATATTTTTCTATGTATACTCACCACAAAATTTTCAGATGGCAAAAGTAATTCATCATTTTCGTATATTTCTGGATGGGTTTTCAAAAATCTGTCATACCATGTCTTTCCAGTCTTTGATTTTGCAAACCCAGGTATGGATTTGGCAACTTTACTCAGCCTACACACTCTTTTTATCAACTGGTCTTTGAACACAAGCGCATTTTGTTGGTTTGATGTGATTATCCAGTCAACCAAAGCATTTTCTTCATCTGGAGTCAAAAGATACAGATTTTCTGGATCTGAAGGCTGTGTCACTAGCTTCTTGATGGGACTGTCTTGTGATGATGGTTGTACCTATGAAAAAAAATTATGTAAATAATTCCTACAATACAATTCCAATAATGACCTAGAAGTATAGACAGACATATATTTACAGTATTCAGATTTAGGTACAGCTAATACCATTTTCTGTTTTGTGTCATGATTGTTTTATAACATCAATATTATTGATTGATGTCTTGTATATACTGACCACAAACTAAAAAGTTATTACAGATAAATATAAAATTATCAAGTTTTTAACCCCGCCCATATAAATATATAATAAAAAGCTATAAATTTATATCCAAAACATATTACAGAAACGCTTAGGCTTTTAGTTTGTTCACAATATTTAGGCAGTTTTAGGGGAAGAAATCTAGCCCCTCCAATCTTATAAATACCTTCAAAATAATAGTTCAACAGCTGATTAAGCCACATACATTAAGAGCAAAAAAAAGTGGTGAGAGAACTTCCTCTCAGACCGCCTAAATATTGTGAACCAAGTACAATACGAGATATTGAATGATTGAAATCACATGACAAGTAAAAGTATTTTACTTTAACTTGTTTTTTAACACTTAACTTACTGCAAGTTGTACTTACCAAAACTTTATCAACAGGCATTAACAAACCATCGTTTTCATAAATCTCTGGATGGGTTTTCATAAAGTATTCATACCACATCCGTCCGAATTTGGATTTGGCAAAAATTGGACTGATGTTCATAACTTTTTTGTATTTCCCCACTTTTTCCATTAACTGTTGCTTCAACACCAAGGAATTGTTACTGTTTGACTTCAAAATCCATTTCACTAGATTTTCCTCCTCGGCATTTGTCAAAAGATCAATTTCACTTGGAAGACTTCGAGAGACAAGTTTGTCATATAGAACTTCTTGAGGGATTTTATAATGTGAGGCAACCAATACCAATGATTGACCTTTCTTCAATTCCTCAATGGCCTTATCAATACATTTATCAACATTTCTGATACATCGCCCACTAGGTGACTGTTGAAGACCCTTTGATTCCCCATCTTCACCATCCGAGAGGTTGATAATTTCCTTAAACAAAAAATGGATTAAAACTTATATTGCACTGACAAGCGTTGTATACTAATAATAAAGATTTTCTGCTAGTCATGGTATAACTTAACCTCAAACATGTACAGTGATGGCCTCCTCTAACACAACGCTGTAGCCTTCAGTATTAGAAGAGGCTATGGTACTAAACATTATTATTAAATTTAAAATTGAATGCCTATTAGATAAAACATCTTATTCATTTGTATTAAACACTAATCAGGATAGCTTTTGTAGACACATTATTTATCTCTCTTAAAAATTCCACAGTTGCCTTTTTAGAAGCAATAATCAACTTTTAAAATCCTAAATGCTCTTTGTATAAGAACACACTTGCTAGCTCTTTTTTACTACCGCACTTTCTCACCAGGGTTGCCACCTGTCCCTATTATATCGAGACTGCCGAATTCAGCCCCTTTTGCCAGTATTTATGTCTGTGTTAATCCTGGGGGAGGGGGACTGTGCCGATTTGTCCCTAACCAAAGGTGGCAGTGAAACCTCGATAACAAGTCACCTTTGAAAACAAGTGTCATTTTCAAATCCTCTAGAATTTATTTTACCTCTTAACACACCCATTGTGCATATGGTGTATATTGTGTGTATGGTTTCTTTTTTTCAAGTTAATGATAATCTCTATAAGAAGCCAACCTTCATAACGAGTATTATTTAATAATCCCCATTAGAGTATATTGACGCCATTGTATTATTCTTAATGAAACTACAAAATAAAGAATGATTTGATTTGATTTTATCAAGGTTCTACTACAACAGCTTAACCCTTTTGGAATGCACAAGATTTAGAAATAATCCAGAAGTTTTTAAAATAAATAATTTTATTTCATGGAAACACAGATGAAGAGTTCAATGTACAGCCATAAAATGTGACTTACCTTCACTGGAGAAAGATCTTCAGCTTTCACTTCTACTTCATTTTCTTCAGTGAGGTCAATAACTTCAGTTTTTACGTTATCATACATTCTGGATTAGCAACAATCTATAAAATATTAACTTAATTAAATATACAAATTTACATAGTCTGCTCTAATTTACAATACATTACCTAGTTCTATCTTGCATATATTAATATTACCTTTTAAAACCTAATGTAACAACATACATAAATCAACTACCCAGGAATATTAAACAGGTAAAATTTATCTCGGGTGTGTGGAAAACCTATTGTTATCAAATGGTGGGGGGGGGTTCACTCTAATCTACGGCAAAGGTCTCAAGGGCTGGAGATCGTCAATCATGTCATATATAAAAGAAATCATTTTGACCATATCTTTTTTACTTATTTTTCCTTTTTTTGATTTATGGTTCTGCATAAATCATTTCATATCATTTCTGATAAACTTTGGCATGAGCTATGCAGTTCTACGAGAATAACCATGTACAACACTGATAAACACTACATACGGGAAAATCATTAAAAATTGTTCCAGAAGTAGGGCGCCATTTAATATTGTATAACAATCAATAAATTTACTATCATAATGTTGATATAAATCTATGTTATGGCGGTTTCATTTCTAAGTCCTTGAAGTTGGGCGCCATTTTGAACTGTTCAGTTTCTCTTTTGTCACAATATTAATATTAAGAGATAGTAGACATAACTGACTTTTAATTTTAATTTTAAGAAGTTGGGACATTTTCTTACAAATGTATAGGCCTATTTACTTGCTAATTGATTGGTTCTTATTGCACTTTTTAAGTTCTTTAACAAAAGATCTCATTCACAGATTTGCTCATAATATTAAGGTTTATTAGAATTATCTGCAACATGAGTATAGACTTAATTGTTTATTATGCACATAGTCGATTCCTTGTTTACAGTGCAGAACAGCTCTTATAAATGTTTGTGATGTTAACTTTACTAGCAACATTATTCTTATCAAGATGTGGGTTGTTCAACTTTCCTCACGTACCTAATGAATACACAAAATTACAGGAACTTGGAGCGTTTTGAGGGTACTGACATCTTTTGTCATCTGGGATCGCTGAAACTCCCATTTGAAACACCCATGACTCATGGATTTTACATACTGCACGGTTATGTTAAATGGAGCATTAAAAAGAACTATCAACATGCATGTTATTTTCCTTTCAATTTTACGTCTTAATGCAATTTAAGTCTATCAAATGACTCAGTGCTACTGACAACATAATACTTTTTTATGGCAAAATTGAACTAGTGCATTTTTGAAATTCATAAGTTGTGTTGTAATTAACAAAGATTAAGATAGGCCTATTTGCTATTCTTTCAATTTATTACCTTATTAAAATCAGGTGTGATTATTTGTTTGCTGTATTCTGTTTTGAATATTTCAACATAACCAATCAATAGTTTGATTAATACTTATGAAGTCAAACGGGGTGAAACCCGTGGGTAACAGCTAGTTTATATAGAGGACAAGGAAATTGCCTCTTGCAAGAATTCCTTGTAGGCCTACTAAATGGCCTATTCATTTTTCCATTAAAAGTATGTTTCCTTTCTCTTCATAAAGCAATACCGGTGTCAAGTCTTTCATTATAAAGCTCTGCTCTGCTGTTGGCTGGCATCTGCTTTTGATATGTTTTCAGTGCTTTTCTTTGTTACGGTACTTCCTGAATTATATCTGGCACTACACTTTTTGAACATTCAACCTTTAACCACCTTTAGAGCAGAACACAGTCAATCTTACTTATTGTGCAATTATGCTTCAAAAACATCTCTCTCCTGACAATGTTGTAATATATGGATTTAATCTGATAATTTTACTAATGACTTAACTTCCTCATTACCTTTAGAATGATGTGGTGCAGAATCCAACTTCAACTTTGGTATGGAAAAGTCACAACCCCTTGTAAAATGTGTAAGTTCTGATTATTAAAGTATGTTTTGTTAGATAGCATCACTAACATACGTTTACGAAATGAATAAAGAGCGTTCTATTATAAATTTTGTAATTTCTTAATTTGATTATGAAGAAAACATTTCAAACTATTTGTTGGATAGCTATTTGTTGGGCTCTCTAGGCCCTTTTATAGCATAGAGGGTTACTTTCAGGAAAATTTTAGTAGCATGGTATTTTGATATGTCAACTATTTCCTCAATGCCTGAAAGTCTGATTTATTTATTTACATGTTGAGCATAACCATATGATCTGTTTGAACATTTTGACCTTTTACTGTCATTGTTTCTGATAGGCTCAATGCTTTTCCTACAGTTACCTAACAATGTACATGTTCTCTCACTTATTTGAGAAAGCAAAGTGGCCAATTCGCTCATCAGTGATACAATGTTAACATTGTCTCACTCTAATTACTTTGTCTCACTCCAGATTTGCAACGTGAAGGCACGAAATAGTGAGCGTGTAACATGCAGTAAAGGTCGTATGCGCGCGAAATCCGTTGGCAGCACTGGCCGTAAATCAGCTGGTCAGCTGTTGTACTGTTGTATTTGTCACTTCACATTAAATGTTATATTAAAAGTTCACTTCTGTGTAAAAGTAGGTTATGTTTCTTCACAAATTTATTTGTTTTATGGTAACTGTAGGAAAAGTATAATGTGCAACTCGAGTTCAAAGTACAATTGCCTCACTCGAGAAACCATTCCTCACTCGCCTACGGCTCGTGAGTAAGGATTTCTCTCGAGTGAGTCAATTGCTCACTTTTCTCACTAGTTGCACAAATAACTATTGCATAGCTCGTTTTTCTATTTTTTTATTGTGACTGCCCAGACAAATATTTTGTCTATTTATTTATGTTTTATCTAGTTTTCTTCTCTCGATTGAACCTTTAACCTCATTGTTGACTTTGTCATATGCATGTACCTTGCAAATTATGACAAAAAGTTTCTGATTCCTGATTTCCAAATGACATTGAAAGCAATGTACACTTACTTCATCAAGACTTTAGTTCTGATTCAACCATAGATACAGTACACAATAATTGCTATTTTGTGATAGTCATAGAATTCTTCATATCTTTAAAAGATTCAATTATTCTACTTTCACAAACTTTAGCTACCATAAAATTAGTGAAAAACTACCGATTGTCATAATCAATAAACACTGACCTTAGTTCTGGTCATCCAACACGTGTTTCAGTGCACCAACCTGGTTTATATTTTTCTTATAAGTTCCTGTTTCTATTTTTGTGTCATTCTATCTGTGACTTTTATAAATCCGAAGCCATGTCCGTGTACTCTCAAAACTACTAACACAAGTCCAACCTTCACTTAAACTTCATTTTTTTCACTTCACTTAAAAAATTTTTAATAGGTAGATAAGACGTTCTTTATACTTTTTTCATTCAATACATAGACCCGAAGAATATATTCACCAGTTGAAAAACTATAAGAAGTTTATCCAGAGGATTTTACTTTTCTAACTGTCAAAACTGTTCAATGTTTATCGTTGTAACAAATAGGCCTAAGTCTATCCACTAAAAACTTTATAAATACACTATTTTTCTTGTTAATAATTCATTTAGAAACTTGGATTCACAGTAGACTTGCTGATTTACACCCTCTTCACTGTTCTGTAATTCAATCAACTTTGATAAGCTACTATGGTTTCTTCTTTGCTTACAAATCAACTGGATTGGATTGGCTGACAATTTCTGCAGTTGGCAAATGATGGTTTTCTGTTCAGAAGGCTGGAAAAATGTGTTACCAAAGTGTATATTGTTTGGTCTATCATCAGTGGTGTGGTGAAGTGGCGTAGGAACGCTATTCCCACACTTTTTCCGAAATTCTATATATTAATAGGTCTGTGTTTTCCCAAAACAATGGCAAGCATTCACAGACCGTAAAATTAGTGCTAAGTTACACTGTCATAAGTCAACATATGATGGTCTCTATGTTTGGATACATTTTCAAAGCTTCTACAATTGCTTCAAGCTCCACAAGGAAAATAAAGAGCAATCCAATACCATAATAACTATAAGCCACTATTTGAACTCCTTCACATTGCAACCATCAGTTTATGAGCAATACATCTGGGCTTGCTAGGCAATTGAAAAACAAGGTGGTGGATTCGAAGACCAGGTTCTTCACAACCACAACACCAGAGGTTGAAACTAAATCAACATAAAGCACATTCGGCCAGCTTTTGTTACTTAGAAAGGGCTCCTACCACATGACAGTTTGCCAAGTTTTAGCCGAGTAAGCTTTCGCCAATATTTCTCTGGATAAACGGAAGCCTTGAAGACTACTCTTTTATTTCTACTTGATAAATGGTTTCCATAAGTCAAACTAATTAGTTTAAATTTTTAAATCACCTTTAGGCCTGGATGACATGTACCTATGCCATGCCATGTAGTTTTGAGAAGAAACAAGTCATTTTTTTATAAGCTAAGTGTCGCTATCTTAACTGACAGAATCTACTCTAATCGGACGATGGGTCAACGACAAAAATGGTAAGTTGGCTAATAAGTTAGCTTGTTCAATGCGGCAACAAAACTGGCTATATCACTCCATGGCTAAAATATGAAAACTCAAATTAACTTCCCAAATTAATTCTTGTTTTGGATGATGAACTGGTATTATTTCAATTTTTGATGAGATGTACGGCATCATTATTCTTAACAGCAATACTTGTCATATGCGCAGCACCCGTCCGGCTTCTATGTAGAACCGACGCACGTCACACCAGAAGTAATCCTTAGTTTGTGTTGTCCGTATCTCTTAGTTAATCTTCAGTGAGAAAGTCATCAATCCATGAAGAATTAGCCATAATCATTCAATATTGAACAACACTTGTGTCATATACCTAACACACTAAAACACAAAGACTTGCACACAAATAACAAAAACTAAGCAAGAAACACAAAGGACTAGGCCTACTTCATACAGCGCAACGAAAACAACATCCTTCGGCTCAGCTCATATCGAGGTAATAATTTGGCAGTGGTGCTTTGACGAGTATACTCGTCGCGTACCGCTTGGCAGCACCAGCAATGACAAAATTACTCGTCACCCGTATTGAACATGTTAATTAACCAGTTACAAGACTAGTAGCCTAATCATACAATTGGCCTAGCCCAACTGCATCAGGCTTGGGGCATGTAGGCCTAATATATAGTTATTGTAGGCTACTTGCATAAGCCTACCTTATAAAGAGGGGTTTGCATCAATAAATAAATGGCTATTGTGCAGACAAGCCTACCCTAGGCCTAGTTGAAAAAATTACCGGCAAGTCTGGCTGGAATTAAAAAACATTAATAGGCCTAGGCCAACAAAAGATTTTAATCAAAAAGCTTTCTTCAAGAATTTAATTGAATGCAAACGATACCAAATTTATAGGTACTAAAGCCCTAAATCATTTAGGCCTATCCTGCACTGTCAAAGAGTTCTAAGTATTTTGTCTCCTTTTACTAGTTATCGAATTTGGGTGTAACCTAGATAACTTAGTGTGACAGATGTGGGTACTAATTTTACCTAAGTTAGACTAGGAGGTTGAACATCCGTGAATATCTAAGACCTACTGGCCTTCACTACTGGGAAGGACTGTAAGTAGGCCTACCACAATCATGTTACAGGTGCCTTAATTCAAAAGGCAAGTAGGCCTATCTTCTTGCACCACTGTTGAATAGTGTAGCAAAAATATACCCATAGGGAAACTAAAAACTGTGTGGCGGCTGGGCTTGACTGACGTGGCACTTCTGAGCTAGAGCTGTTGCAACGATCCAACGTGGATCCAACTGTGGGGCTTCGGCATCGTAGACCTAACGTAACGTTTTATCTTCACAAAATCAAAATCACTGTGCAGAAGCGGATCAACTTAGCAGCAATGAATTTAACACTAAATTACAATACACCGGATAACACAAACGATACAAACAACAATTTGCCTACATGAGGCCTAGAAGCTCAGAGAGACAATAATTCAACTGATAATGGTCATGATCAGATCATCTCCAACCAAATCCAAAATGGCGAATTGGGAAAACTGTGTTCACTTCACTGTTCACGAGTGTTCGTTCGGTGTTCGACGTTCGTTCAATGTTCATTGTCTGCCTGTATTCTTCTTCTTATTCCTCCATCGGCCTACTAACACTGGCACTGGCCTAGCCCTTGAACCAAACATCATCCAGTCTACCGAATACGACTCTCAAGTCAGAATAAGTTAATTTGTTGACGTATCCTATTCACATTTTTGCAAGATTTTGATTTCAGTGATTTCTTCTCACTTCTCTCTTCCTTCTACTCACTACGAGTGATGAGACATGACTCGAGACGTTGTGATTGTTACGTTAACTGTGGTTGTTGTGTTACTTTACTGCTTTCCATTACTCTACTTGTGTTTTGTGTTGTGCTTTTGTGGACGTTGTGGTGGAGTGGAGTGGGAGTAGTGGAGTGGCAGTGGACTCGGCTGAGGAGTCCCAGTCCGAGTGGACTATGGAGTGGAGTGACTGGAGTGTGGACTCGGTATGTGGAGTGGAGTGGAGTAAACTGGAAGGGGTGGGAGGCACAATTTTTATTTCAGCTGCAGTTTTTTTAATACAGACAAAATGAGTTTTGTTTAAAAATTAGAAATTAAAAAAAATAGTAAGTTATAGGCTTAAAACTAAAAAATATATAAAATTAGTCATGTATTTCTTTGGTCTGATGATTTACTGGGATCCAATCTCCACTCGTTATTCTACTGAGCTATAATAGTGCCTCCATGTAATGTAATATACCAACCAACCACCATGAACCAACACTCCATTCCCTTGTATATTATTAATCTATAGTAACTCTACTAAGTTTGCGCGTTTGCGTTATTTTCGTCTACGTGATGGTTGGGTTTGAGCATAGATCAAACATACAACGAGTATGTCTAATCATTGATTATGGGTAGTTTTATTTGTGGTTTGAGCGAGCACGAGCACAGGCAACTAATGATGTATTAAAACAACAGGTTAAATTTTAATTGGCATAAGACATAACCAATTAAGTTGTAAGTGTTTATTTGATACGGGGTTTTCAAAAATCTTTGCTTACAAACAAAAAAAAACCAACATGATTAGGGCCGTCCACATATTACGTAACACGTTTTTCGTAATTTTTAAACCCACCCCTCCCCGTATGACGCTGCATCCATTGTTCATTATTTTCTTATGTTCTTTACGACTGAAAGATCAGAGGTTAGATTTGATGAGACGTTTGATCTTGTAAAACCCACCCCCTGCTCGTAACGCTAGCCAAACCTCTCTCTTGAGCGTTACGGCATAAGTGGACGGCCCCATCCCATAGTAATTAGTGAAAAAAAAATAAAAATTGGCTATTAATTGCTAAATATAACAATTTTTTTTTACCACATCCCGAACATTTTTTGGGATGTAGTTAAACAAAATTGCAGGGGCAATGAGCAGCTAAGCAATCAGCTTGTTTCAGCAAAAACAAAAACTATTAATATTTTAGATTAGCATTATTAGTGTAAAAAATAAAGTATGCACTTACATGTCATGTATGTACCGTAACCACTGAGCATAGACCGTAACCTACCGTAAGGAGGAAATGAAATCACTGATCCACTGTAGACAGACGAAAAGAACTGTAACTGTAGTAGGCCAGTAGGCCTTTATTGAGTTTTAATGTAAACAAACAAATGTTTAAAATGATGTATTTGTCAGATTCAGCAAACACCTAATTACTGGTTACAGAATGTTACACAGAATAACTTTATTTTTTATATTACATTCTGTGTTCGCTAGTCAGATTAATTTGCAATATGAAACATGCTTGGTGTGGTGACAGTAGTTCTTTCAGGAACTAAATTCAAATTCTGCCTGCACTCTAAAGGCCTAAGTTGTTGTGGTAAAATACTAGTACTTAGCTAATTTTAACTCAAAGCCTCTTGCTGCCAGTTATTCCACAAATAATGTTTACTTTATTTACTCTGTAGGCTAGGCTCTAGCAGTAACTTAGACCCATTAATAACTACTAGGCCGTATTTTTCTAGTAGGCCTAATCGTGGGCTTAGGCCTATACAATTTCAAGATAAGCGCTGAATTTTCAGAAAAGCAAAATTTAGCACTAATGCCATTAATTTAGGCTCAGTGGCGTAATTTCACGAAATCCTTTGGGGGGGGGGGGCAAACACTGGGGGGTATGGAATATCCCCCAGCAAACGAGGGTCCGGGGGTCCTCCCCCGTAAAATTTGGCAGTTTTGAAACAAAAAAGAGGTGTTTAAGCTTATTTTAATTCTCAAAAGCACTTGGAATAAAAAAATTATGAGTAAAATTTATTTAAATTTAGGCAGAAAATTGATGAAACTAACAATTATTGACAACAGACAGAAACATATTAATAAGTTAATATGTTGGTAAGTTAGTCATCTAAGAAACATGATCAATAGTTTCATGGTGTATTAATATTATTTTTGTTATTAGATTTATGACCAAATTATCTTGTACAACATTAAGACCTATAGCAATTAATACGGTTATATTCATAGCCCATTTTATAACAGTTCAATATGGTTTTTAAATAAAATACAAGTAAGTTATTTAAGTAGGTACTTAAAAGCAAATAAAATTTTATTTTCAATAAAATAATTTGACACAATTAATTTGAATGTGCTACTGAGTCACTAAAAAATAACATTTTTGTTTCAAATTACTGTAGAAGAATAGGCAGATTTTTGTCTGCCGTGCTTTTTAGGATTTGACATGAGAAAATATTTATATTAGCTAGTAACTTACACCATATTTTTTTCTCTAGCCCAGGAACCAGGGGGGGGGGCAATTGCTCCCCCGCTCCCCCATTGATGCCCCTGGTTAAGTTAGGCTATATGCGAGTTGGGTGGCACACTTATTCAACTAAGTTATTGCAAAAACACAAACTATTTTAGGCTTGCGAATTAGTTTGTAATTACACTGTGACATTAAGATCAATGTTAATTAGCCTAATTTTTAATAATATTAAAAAAAATAATATTAAAGTTTGGCCAAACTTTGATATCTTTTTAAGTTATCCTAAGTTACCTAAGTTAATCGATTGGTGGCTGCCTAGGCCTAGATATCGATATTGAACTTTTGAGTTTTTGTTAAATTAGTTAACTTAAGTTTGGTTAAATCCATTGCGATCAATAGTTTTAATGTTTGTTAGGCCTAAGTAATCCTAGGAGTCGGATAGCTTACCGTATCAAAGTTTTGTTCACCCAAACTTTTATTTTTTTGTTTAATCTGTGCTCAATGTTTAATGTATCTGTTTTTTTTTTTTTTTTTTATTGTTTTTGAGTTTCTCCACCTGGGTAATTATTTAAGAGTTAAGTTAAGTTACAGTTACAGAGGGGTTGCTTGACTCTTTTAAAAATTCTATCTTAGTTCTTACAATCATCAAACTATTGTTTTCTCTGAAAAATATTTAATCTTATACTTTATTTTGTAGATGTCCAGTTTAGAGGGAACTTGTGGTAACATTGTTAAGGAAGAAAAAAACGTTGATGAAATAAATGAAGAAATCGACCGACAACTCTTTAATTTTGTGAATTTGGTTTGTTTACAAAACTTTTTTTAGGCCTAATGGTTATTTAGTTGTAGTTTTGTTTACTACATAGTGATTTTTGTTTGAAATGTAAGTAGAACCTATTTTTTCGGTTTAGGGTTCAAGGTTCAATTGTTAAATTTAGAAGCCATCTTTCAAGACGGACACTAAATAGTGTTTTTTTAGTGTATTTTACAGATTCCCTGATAGGAAATAAGTTATTATCAGGTCTCATCGTAAAACCTGAACTCTGAACCAATTTACTTTTTTGTTTTGATATCCCTAAAGGCCAAACAACACTATTTGTTAAAATTGTTATTTAGGGTGAGGTAGTAAAACGGCTAGATTTTGAAATATCACAAAAATATCATTAAGAAAAATACTACAGTTGTTTTAACAAAAATCATGTTTCGCCTTAAAAATAATTTTTTTTTATTTTTCAATTATGTGTCAATACAATGGTGTCCTTGGTTTTGCACACATTGTTGAACTCTGAGATGAAATTCACCCGCATGACATTTTTTAGCGTTTGCAAAACGTCTGCAAACGTTTTGTAGGGATTTGTCGTGCTACTGTAGCAGTGGTTTCAAATATATTCACCCAAAGAAGGATAGCTTTCCTTCATGGCATTATGCACGTATGTTTACATTCACTCAAGATCATTTTGAATTGTCATGCTATGAATAAGAAAATGCTTCTTTTAATTTAATTTAATTAATTTATTTATTTTAAGCATGCATTATTGATATTTTAACATAAATACTACTTAGTTGAATCAATATTATATTTATGGATGTGTGTATGTGTGCGTGTGAGTGTGTTTGTGTATGTATGTGTATGTATATATATGTTCATTTATTTTAAATATATACGAACTGAGTAATATTGCCTTATAAAGTTGCGAAAATTAATTCATGAAGTTATATTTTATTTATTGTATTTATGTGAATCACAATTATTTAATTTTTCAATTGCTGTATTATGATTGCTCTTATACAACGTTAGCTAAACATTGGGTGCTATGCAACAGTTAATCTTTAAATGGTTGTGCATCTTAAATGGGTTAATAGCTTATGTTTGAAGTTAAATTATTTTTATTTCTTATTTATATACAAAAAGCACAATTAGTTTATTTAAGATATGTTATTGTTATCAGTGTTATGAATTATTTACCATTTTTGTATTTGCTTAAATTTTATGCATTATATGAATGTCTACACAGTTTAATCAGGATTGATCTAAAGAAGTTCATTCAGTAAATATTCAGTAATACTAACAGTTATAACTATTTTCAGTAAATAATGTTTTGTTATAAGATAGAGCCGAAACCCAAAGTGCTTGAATCTCCAATGTTTTACAATTTAGTTAGAATAAGTATTCAAAATCAATGTGTAGATAGCTTTTTCATCCTGTGTGTATGTGTGCGTGTGTGTGAGTCTGCCATATCTATGCTGGCGAGCGTCGTCGTCGCCTCGCCGCGGGTCCGAGCTGTAGGTCCAGGATAGCGGACCTGCACAGCGTCGCCTCAGTCACCCCTCCCCCGCCCACTCCTCTCCCTACTGATAACGCTCAGATCCTTGCCAATAACCTGACTCCATTCCACAAACAATTCAAAGCCGCTCATATTAATGCACAGTCACTTTGTAAACATATTGATGAAGTCAGAGCAATTTTTCAATCGCAAAATTTTGAAATTGTAGCTGTTTCAGAAACCTGGTTAAAGCCGAGTATTTCATCCGGGATTGTTGCAATGTCTGGTTATTCTATCTTTAGGAATGATCGGCTTAACAAGACTGGTGGTGGAGTGGCTGTCTATGTTAAGGACGGTTTGAATGCCAGACTATTGTATGCATCTCCGGGTGAGTACTCGGCTAAACCCGAGTTCATGTTTTTAGAAATTTGTTTGTCTGGCTCAGATGCTCTTCTCATGGGGGCATGTTACCGCCCTCCAGGCGTGGGGCATCTGGCAGATTTTGAAGACATTCTCTTGCGCCTCATGCCTGGCTACGGTCGTATCTTAATCATGGGCGACTTCAACTGTGACTTATTGAAACCTGAACGCTACGACTGCAGACAATTAAAAAACATGTTTGACTCTTGCAATTTTACTATACTTCCACTGGACCCAACGCACCACACTGCCGAAGCTGAAACTCTATTAGACCTCATCATTGTAAATGATCCAGAAACTTCAGTCCACCACGGACAGCTTCCAGTCCCGGCCATATCTCGCCACGATTTAATCTATTGCGCCCTTTCAATAAGAGCACCAAAACCCGAACAAAAAATCATTACGTATAGAAACTTTCGAAATTTCAATGAAGCTAATTTTTTAGCTGATGTTTATTTGATACCTTGGCAATCTATACATACTCTAGAGTCTGTTGATGACATGGTAAATTCCCTAAATGAAATGATTTTGCAGTTATATGATAAGCACGCTCCAATGATTACCCGAAGGGTTAATAAGAAGCATCCCGTGCCTTGGATCACAAATGAGATCCTCAGGTTAATGGCTCAGCGGGACTCAGTCTTTCGTAGAGCCAGGAGAACTAGAGATGTGGGGCTAATGGCCCAATACCGTCAGCTCAGAAACCAAGTTAAGCAACAATTACGTAACTCTCGCCTTCATTACTTCCATAGGCTGTTTTCAGATAGAAAACAGGCTTCTTCTGTGCTATGGCGTAATTTAAAGAAGTTTGGTCTTGGAAAACAAGAACAGTCGAACACTGTATCTGTCCCGTTAAATGTATTGAATGATTATTTTTTATCAGCCTCTACAAATTTAAATAGCACAGTTATTCAGAACCATTTAAATGATTTAAAACTGCAATGCAATTTAAACAATGATTTTCCTGAATTTCGTTTCCGTACAATTTTGCAATCTGATGTTTTGAAAGCTATAAGACGAATTACGTCTGATGCTACTGGTTCTGACAATATCCCAATTTCTTTAATAAAACGGGTTTTGTTTGCTCTCCTCCCTACGGTAACTTTCATTTTTAATTCTTCTCTAAGAACAGGTATTTTCCCAGAAAAATGGAAGTCTGCTATAGTCCGTCCTTTGAATAAGATCTCATCCCCTAAACTTCCTCAAGATTATAGGCCGATTAGTATTCTTCCAGCTCTCTCTAAGGCACTCGAAAGAGTTGCCCATTCTCAAATATCCGATTTCCTCTCTCAAAACAATATTTTAAACGAATTTCAATCAGGTTTCCGGCAATCATATAGCACTGAAACGGCTTTGCTAAAGATAACTGATGACATACGCCTTGCTATGGATCGTAGCCAATGTACAATCTTAACTTTATTTGATTTCAGCAAGGCTTTCGATACAGTCAATCATGAAATTCTTCTTACAAAACTCAAAATAATAGGTTTTTCTAATAGTTCATTATCCTGGATGAGATCATATCTTCATGGCCGAAAGCAGTGTGTGTCTCATGACAAAACTATGTCTGACTGGAGTCAGGTGCCTTGTGGTGTTCCTCAAGGATCAATACTTGGCCCTTTACTTTTTACTATCTACATAAATGACATCAGTTCAGTCTTACAACACGCCAAGTTTCATTCTTACGCTGATGACTTACAAATTTACGCTCACTTCAAAGTCAGTGTGGTGAATGAAACAATCACATCAATGAACGACGACATCAACAGAATTGTGGAGTGGGCAGCAAAGAATGGACTAAAACTTAACCCTGACAAAACCAAACCAATCATTATTGGCCACGCACGACAACTAAACCGACTTGACCAAAACCTTTTACCTCACATCACTGTGAATGGTACTGTATTGCCATACCAAAACAAAGTTAAAAGTCTTGGTTTGACGATACACAACACACTAGACTGGACTGACACGGTGGTTAACACTTGTAAAAGGGTGTTTGCCGCTGTCCACACACTGAAGAAGATGCAAAGACTTTTACCATTTCACATTAGACTTTTACTGATCAAGTCACTAGTGTTTCCCCACTTCAATTACTGTAATACCGTGGTTAATGATATGACCGTGGCTTTGGCAACAAAATTGCAACGAGCTCAAAATTACTGTATAAGATTTTTGTATGATCTTCGACGAGATGATCACGTCACACCGTACTATGTAAATTCTTCTCTTTTAAAACTGTCTGACGTTAGAGAAATACGCATTATTAATATAACTCATTCGGCCATCAATCTCAAAATTCCAAATTATCTCGCGATCAATTTTAGATTTTTAAATGAAAGAGGCGCAAGAAGAAATACCCGCTCTGGCTCATCAACTCTCCAAATTCCTCACCATAAGACAACAGTTTATAATAGATCATTTACAGTAACAGCATGTCGCCTTTGGAACTCACTACCATTCACTATCAGGAGCATAGAATCCCGTTCCCGACTGACGGCGGCGCTGAAGGCGTACTATCTCGATCGGATGACCGTGGCTTGGTGGGATGGCGTGCGTTAGGCCTAGGTATGGCAAAGAGTGAATGTGGGTGTGTATGCGTATATTAGGGACAAAGATTTATAACTTTAGTTTTTACTTATTATTTTGTTTATAGTTTAAAAGTTTTATAAAAATACATTGTTTAGTTTATATTTAGTTCATAAGAGGTTAACTGTAAGAAAGGACCATGTGGTCCTAATGTTCGCCTCAATAAAAAAGTATTTTCATTTCATTTCATTTTCATTTCATGGCACGGAAGCCCGTGGGGATAGACTAAACTCACAACGGAAAGTGCACAGAGCATAAACCACACTACCGGTATCCACATTTTTTTAACATGCCACAACAGCAATCACAAGCTCATCCAACAATACATGGCTACTGAAATTTCCACTAGTCTAGAGGCCTAAGGACTGTTCTCCCACACTCTAATAGCCCCGAATTCCTCGTCAGCTAGTGTCAAAATCGTGCCGTTTCACTGCCTCACCCTGTATAACTTATATATGTGTCCATGAAAACCATCCAATTTTGAAATTCAGTATGTTGATAACGTTATTAGTGTAAACCTACATTTATTTGATTAAGATTGTAAACCAGCATGATCGAACTATGTAAAAGATGTTTTATGATGTACAAATTTCTTTTCCCCATTTTCAACCTTCAAAACATAAAATTATACAATTTCTCCCTAAACCATTTTGTAGAGCTAAGAAAAAACATATTAAGTTAATTGGGTAAACTGAAGTGTTGTAGGTTCAATAGTTACACAGACAATTCTGTAATCTTTACTAAAATGTTCTAGTTTGCTTGCTTATGGGTATTGTTTTGATCAGATTTGGCAAATTTAGTTATATCACTCAAGCTAACATTTCACACCAAACAACCCCTTAACTTACCTCTACCTGTAGCAGCAAACCTAAGTACTCGCTAACTTAATGTTAACTTACCTTTGGGTGAATAGGGGAATGAATCTAACATAAGTATTTAAGGAAATACTGTAAGTAAAAATCCAATTAGGAAAATGGAAATTATCTTAGTCCGCAGCAGTACAGGGATATTTATAGGAACGTATACACGAATAACAAATCTATCAAAATAGTTTCAGGCATACATACTTAAGTTTATGTTTATGGCAAACAAAAGCATTATTGCAGATTTCTTCACCAGCCCTACAATATTAAGAAAATCTTTTGAGGAGGGAAATATAAAGTTTTATGTACCTATTTTGAATTTGTTTATTGCTACATATCTACCTAGACCTCAATTCTTAGCCGAGCTAGTTTAGTATCAATTTCCTCTTCTTTTAGCCACATATGTTTTCCTCATTGTACACTGGGTATTTACATTGTTTAGGATATCCCTAACATAGTAAAATTCGAGCCTCAGGATGAAGACCCAACACTTCAAGTTGAAGAACTACAGGGTGTTTCCCTTCGTATTCTTCAAACACAGGTAAAATCCTAATGATTCATTTGATTTAATCGATTTGGTTTTAGCGAATTTCCCATATAGGGAATAAGCTATTACCGTAGTACTCATGGTAAGACCTGGACCCGGGACTGATTTAATTTTTTGTTTTGAGGTCCCTGGAGGCCAAAAACACCATCCGTTCAAATTTATATATATATTTTATGTGTGTGTCCGTTAGCGCAATAACTTGAACAAAAAGGATCCAATTTTGATGAAATTTGGTGCCTACGCTTATTCGAACCATGGGAACGGGGGTTTGTGGGGTGTTATATGGGGTAAAAATGGGATTTTCCCATTTTTGACCCTAAAAACAAAAACAGTTCCAATTTCTTTTTAAACCATTTTGTAGAGCCTTAAAAAAAAATAATTTAGTATATTGAAGCGCTGTTTTATGCCTAACGGTGACAAAGAATATTCAAAAATAGTGTATTTTAAAATTCCCATGATATTCTTATGGAGAAAATGAAAACTGTTGTAGTTTACTTGTTTGTGGATGTACGTTGATAAAATTTGGCAAATTTATTTATTTCATCTTATTCTATTGACGTATGGTCAAAACAACTTTTTACCTTCCCTGTAGCAGCAAACCTAAGCACTCGTTAAATCTAATGTTATTTAAATTGGGAATAAATAAATATGTCTCATTTATGGAAATATTTGAGAAAAAATGTAATCAGACAAGTTGAAATTCGCTTAGTCTGCAGGTTTGCTGCGGCGGGGGTATTTTTAAGAGTAGGGCCTACTATGGTTTAAATATTTATTCTTTTGCTCAATTATTTTATATGTTTTGAGGGGTTTTTTAGTGTTGCAGGACCCTAAAATGTGGTCAAATCAGCCACATGGCCACCTTGTATTTTGGGAAGTTTAGATTATCTTCTACATAGTTTTTACCCCCTATTCTTACTTATGGGTCTCACTGCAGGGATAGGGTTTAAAAGACGTACTACTGTACACAATTTTTTTTCAACTTGTTCTTTCCTTTTTAACTTGCAGTCCTGATCCTAATATTCTGCCTAAGCAAGGTTTTACATTATTGCACTCATACATAACCCTTAGTTAGCTGAGAGATATTTTTTTTTTATGGAGGACATTTTAAAAATTGTTGCAGACAATTTACAAAACAAATTAAGACTTTGTAGACTTGGGATCATAACATTTATTATTAATTTATTAAACTAATTCAATATTGATATGAGTTAGATTTTATTTGATTGTAAGAGTATGGTTCTAGGAGGAAACGCAGGACACGAGGGAGGATCCCATCACTACAGTGAGTACAGAAACCTTTGTTTGCAGTCATTGTCACAAAACATATCACTCCAAATCCACATTGTCAGTTCACATACGAAGAGTTCACTTGCCCGACAGCTGTTACAAATGTCCTGAATGTGATAAAATATTTACAAGCCAGGTAGGGTTGAAAATTCACCAGAATACGCATTCAGACGATAAACCAACAATGTGCAAAGAGTGCGGGAAAACGTTCAGTTGTGTATACAATATGCGTGTTCACCAGCGGGCCCATATTGGACTGAAGCCGTTTCTATGTGCTGATTGTAACACAAGTTTTTACGACAAAGGCAGCCTCCGGAAACATCAAAGGGTACATTTGAATGTTAAACCCTTTAAATGTTCATATTGTCAGCGTTCCTTCAGACGAAACTCTTCGTTGCGGAAACATGAAATTACACATATCGGAAATAGACTATTTCAGTGTAACACCTGTAATAAGTGGTACAGTACGAAGGAAAGTCTCAAACGTCACCAAATCGTTCACACTGGAGTAAAAGCCTTCACCTGTCATGTTTGCGGGAAATCTGTTTGTAACCAATACACACTGAAAATTCATATGAGAATTCACACCGGCGACAAACCTTACGCTTGTGACCTCTGTAAACTGAGGTTTTATGACTCCAGCACGCTGCGGAAACACACAAAAAATTACCACATTCAAGAAAAGTCTTTCCAATGTGATTTGTGTAAGAAAACGTTTGCGGATAAAAGAAACATACAACTACACATGGTGACTCACTTGCAAGTAAAAAAATATGAATGCAAATTCTGTGATAAGTCCTTCACTGGAAAAAATTACCTGAAAACTCACATCAATATACACAACGGAATTTACGAATTTGTCTGTGTAGTTTGTAGCAAAGTTTGCGTTTCTAAGGAAAACTTGCAGGCTCATCTTAAATGCCACGAGGAGGAAAAACAGTTTTCTTGCGAGGTTTGCAAAAAGTTTTTCAGAGACTTGGGATCACTCAAGAAGCATTTTCGCACACATACAGGTGAACGCCCGTACACTTGCCAACCCTGTGGGAAATCGTGGCGGAAAAGCAGTAGTTTGAAACAACATATGATGAAACACCGTGGCGAACAGGAGAAGAAAGTTAGTTGTCCTGTTTGCCACAAACGGTTTACCTCGACCCGCCTCAAGGTACACTCGATTATACATTCGGATGTAAAACCTTTCCCTTGCTCGCACTGTCCAAAAGCTTTCCACACGAAATCGAATAGAGATGTACATGAACGAATCCACACCGGAGAGAAACCATTCTGCTGTCCGAAATGTTTCAAACGGTTCGCACAGAGTGGTAATTTGAAGTATCATAGTCGTAAATGCCAGTGAAAATCAAAACAAAATTACTGAGCTGAATGAGTTACCGGGTAGTAAACAAGATGAGTTATGTGACAAGATATTTATCTTTTTACATTAAGGGTGATTTTACCAATCCTGGGACAAAAAAAGGAGTATATTTTTATTTCAACCAAAAGGAAGACAATTTGTTTGTTTTGAGTTGTTTTTATTTGATTTTAAAATATTAGTGAATATTTCTATTTCTGTTTGAGACAGATTTCTTAAACGAAAATAGATTTTAAATTTTCAGTGTTATTTAGTTGTTTTAATTTGTTAAATTTGTAGACAATTTTATTTGAGTGAAACTCTTTACATTAGTTTAGGTTGGACTTATGAGTTGTTGATTTCAAAAGCTTTATTAATTTGTTACTGTTGTCACTAAATGTTCTGTGATATAGTTTAATAGTTTCTTTTTTGTTGTTTGTGTTTATTTTTAAGAGAGTAAATTTAGTTTTTACTATCTCAAGTAATTGAGCAAAATGCCTATAAAAAGAAAGCTTTGTGATTTTTGTTACCAAAGTAAAGGTTTTTTTTCGTAAAAATCTTCATATTTCAAAGATATAGATCTGCTAAAAGAAATAAGTCAACCTAGCAATCGATCGACAAGGATTACATTTAGTTGACCTAATTGTGATTCAACCACACTCAGAAATTTTTATTTTTATATACAGTAAATGTTGACATTTTTACTAATTAGTGATGGAATAACTTAGCTTAACAAGACGCAAAACAATGTCATTATTGAATACATCATTTTGTTTCAAACCATCGATAAGTTTTAATTATCATTACAAAAAGACAATTTTAGTTGCATTTTGATATTGTCTACCAAAGAGGAATCAACATAACAGACTGATGTTTAAGGCCGAGCCAAATCTACTCTTAATAAGTGTTATTTTTTACTGAATAAATAATTTTATTATTTGTTGGCCTATTTTATTCCTTCTTGATTTTTTCAATTTTTCCGCTGGGCTTGCCAGGCCTACTAACTGCGCACCTGCAGCCATTTCTTATTGCTAATTTTCCAATTATTTGACCTTTTATTACATTTTTAGATTTAACTGGGTGCAGTTAAAGGACCAATGATTGCACTCACAGAAGTGCTCAAGGTTTTAAATGAAAACATCTTAAATTGTAGAACTTATTTACTTCTAACAATACTGGCAATTATAAAAATAACAATTATTGAATATGTAAACAGTGAACAGTTCTAATCCATACACCAATTACCAAAAAAGTGACAAGAAATATAATCCAATATCGTGTTGGTAACATTATTTTTCACAAAATTTTGAAGTAGTTGTGGGAAATATAAAGTTATAATTTATCATCAGTAACGTGTTGTTGATATTTTAATTTCACGGTATTGTACAAAAAATTAGGACGAGCTAATAAAGCTATTGATCGATAAATCATTTATTACTTAGTTAAACCTTATCGAATCATCCTTCATCTGAATAAGAGAGACGGATAAAAGGATAAGTAGCCTTTGTCTACACTGGCCCCATGGCTTAAAATGTGTTCTATGGCCTACCCAACGAGCACATAATATAAATGGGCCTACCCACTTCTTCAAGGTAAGCTAGCTGCTATCCTCTGTATTCTACAATTAAAAAAAAAACTTGGTGAATTTTTAAAGGGGGTTGCAACAGGCATGCATTAACAATTCTAACTGTTTAATACTAGTCACTTTTTTGATAATTGGCTCTTATAAGGTTTTGATTTTACAAAAAAAATTGTGCGACACCCAAAGAAGTAAAGACACAGTCTAGAAGAGAATCTAAAAAATGTCTTTTAAATAGAAATACTGAGGTTTTAAAACTAGTATAATGTTTTCAAGGCAAAAAATAAATAGCTTTATCAAAATAAAGATCTTAAAAGGTGTGGAAAATACACCATAAAACACAGCAAACTCCAACTAATGGCATCAAACTATTATAAATTGTCATGATTATGTTTGACCAGCTATTCTGGAGATTGCGTAACAAATGTCAAATAAATTTATAAAAACTATAAACCATAACATTTAGAGACAGTCTGAAAGAAGTCTTATTATGTAGTTCTATTTACAAACACGCCACAATAAATACCTACCATGCAGGTCAACTTACATCTTTACGTCTATGAAAAAAAGTTAAAAAACAGCCTTTATTCACAAATGTACACTATGGCATTAACAGATGTCCATTACATGTTCCGTCCTCTTCACTTCGGGTTTAACATTATTCCTCCTCCGCCTCCAACATTGTGGTTAAACTGAAAAAAAGCCCAACAACTTGTCAAATTTTGATATGGAAAGAGAAAATTTCTGTGTTTTTCTAGACTCTAGAGGATAAGTTAGTATTGAGTCACTTTTGACAGCATGCTTGTCACTAGGGGCACAGAGAAGTAAGATACAGAGAAAATTTATTTATGGGACGACCGTATGCTTTGTATATCTTGTGCACTATACGCATATCCTGTTAGGGTAATATACTTGTGACGAGCAAGGAATAGCCAGAGCGGCAAGGACATGAGCAGTGTTGTATTTGAAGCTTTGTAGTCACTGATACTAGACACCACTTAAGTGTACCATTGAATGTTTTTGTACCTTACTTCTCTATTGGGGCGACCACCCAATTCACAACATTCACGTTCAGTTCACAAAAATTTACATCTTAAAATTGTCATCCTTTTCACTTTTTCAATCAGCTAAATGCAATTTTAAGTTATGTTTTTTTTATTATTGATTAAACTGGCTAACCAAATAAACATTATGGATTTATAAATAAATGCTCTAAACATATCTGTAAACTTTACCTTAAATGAGCAAATATTTAATTGTCATCAGTATACCCTAGTATAATTAGACTAAAACATAATAAAACCGGCTTCAGTTACAATATAATGTTCAGTATATTTGCAGGATCCAAAGTCAATGTCTTATCTTAGTTTTCATAACATTATTCTACAAACAAGATACACTATGAATAACGACATAATTTTAACCCTCCGAGTGTCACGCGTGATAAAAACGACGCACAACACACTTTGTGTAGGGTCACGCGTCGCTTTTAAGACGCACAAACATCGTTTACGGCGAAGGCTCTATGACTGACTGAATCGGATTGAACTGGATCGAGTTAGGTATCGTTCTTTCCGTAATATTCTAAGCTTTCTCCAGAGGTCTGTCTCTAAGCGCTATTCATTTTAGTTCCGAAAATATTGTAGCAGACAGCTGACGTGCGTGTATTTGTAAACAGCTAGGTTCCCCCGGACCGATGACTGATGTGTTTTATTACGTTTATCATTGTTTTAGTGTTAAAAATCAAAAGTAGTGATATACGTGGTGCATTATAAGAAGATTTAAGTGGTTTTGAAGTGCTGGTTGATGATCCTGAAGAAGTAGGTAGTGATATTGATGTAAATTATCAGCCAGATTCCTAGCTATGGTTAGGCTATGCATTCTTAGCTAAACGCTATGTACTGAAATCCGTTTTTCGCTCATAACTTATTTATTTGATAACTTACCTCGCTATATGATTATATATTTGTAATCCTCATTAAATTTAGAACAAAGTGGCTATTTTCAAATATTTATAGGCCTATAATTTATACAATTTCATTGAGCGCGAACTTATTTTTTTTGTTGAAAATTTTCGAAATTATATTTTTTTTTTACCTAAAATTTTTTTTTTTGAAAGAATGTTCCTTATGTTTTATATATAATATTGAAGCCCATGATTTTCCAAACAAAATGGTATATAGAACATTAGAATTAACATTGTTTTAAGCTTCTCAGATCCGTTTTAATAAAACCTTGCAAAGGGGCCAAAAATAGGTGGACATTAAGGCCTAAACTATGGACACTCGGAGGGTTAAACACACCTTTAGAATATGATTAGCATTTAGAAGTGTACGAAAAAATATGAATAAATGTGAAGATATGTTAGAATATAAAGCATTGCAAGGAAAAGGTAAGGGATATTAAGTAATGGGTTTTATTAAAAGAAAGCAGGTTTGAGAAGTTAAAAGCAAGATGATGAAAACTGTTTTACCCAAAAACAATAATTAAATGTTATGAAACTGTACAGAATAGTACAACAGTAGGCCTATAGTTACACAAGGTGGTGATCACATTAATTAATTTTTTTTTCAATGGTGCAACACTAAAGTTAGTTGTTTCTCTTTTGGCTTTGTTTCATTAAAATTTTGAGCGCAACCCACAGCCCTTGGGTTATCCGAGGTAATTATATGCTTAAATATACATTTTTTAATCTTCAGTAGAAAAACAATATCCTATGTTTGAGGTTAGCCTCCAGAGTACGATGAATATATTAAATTGGTGTAAATACCTGCTTTGTTGTAATCCTAATGTTGCCAGTATCAAACTAGTTTTGACATTCTACGAAGTTATCTTCAAGCGTCAAGGATTTCAAAAGGATGATCACTTCAAAGAAGTGTACTGTACTTACATAGTGATCATTCCTTTTGGCATCCTTTACGCCTGAAGATGACTTTGTGGGAAGTCAAAACTAATTGCCACACTAGCAGATTGATGACATTTGGCAAATGTAGTGTAAAAAAAGTTTACACTAAGCTACACAAATATATTTTATATGCGGTTAGTAAAAACAGTAAAAATCATGCACATAATATCCCATTGAAAGCCCTTCATGCAAAAATTATACATAATACAAATAGAACAAACCCAAAAATACTCCGTTACCTTAGTTTAGAACTTCCAGACCAAGGGGAGTTAATTTAGTTGGCTTTGGTTTCAAGACAGGGTTTCCTAAACCTTGACAATAACAAAAAATTAGTGGAAACAGAAATAATAAATCAGAGAAGAAAAAAAACTACAAAGAATAAAATCAATCTGCAGGGTAGATGCTGGGTCATGAAAAAGAGTATAGAAAAGACAGGTGATAGTTTTCAAATAAACGTAGAAGACTGGGTACATAGGTGGCTGCTCAGAACTAGACTGATAAGGTTTAATTTTAATTACTATGCGAGTAAAATTCATTAAAACCTTTCTATATAAACATCCCATTTGGGCTTATCGTAATTGGTAAAGGTAAAGCTACTAGTTAAGCTTTCCCGTTAGCTGCAGTAACTTAATTCCAAATCCTAGTTTCTAAAGAAATTTTTCCAAAAAATTGTATATGTACATAAAAAGATAAGAATATCAATTCTAAACAAGCGTACATTTGGTTAAGGAACAACAGTATAGAGGTAAAAAAATGTTAGGGTAAGCCAACCCCATACTCTGTACTGTTTATTTTTTAATAAAATTCAGCCTCTTGATTAGGATTGATGGTCTCAAACGTTTATGTACTTATCACAATTTAATAGTATTTTGGAAATTATGACTTGAGTAAAAAAGTTACTGAAGCTTGCGGGAAATCTAAAAGGTTGCTAATTAGAGAGAGAGGCAAAGAGTTTGGGTTTATGGCCTAGGCCAGTCTCATGAAGACGAAGAGTAAACAGTACTTCTCCTGCGTGAAGCATGAGTGCTTCGTCTATGATATAGCTCTGATCATGTAGACTATGATCTTTTTATGTTTTATGTACTTTCTTAATTTCAAATATTAAATCTTGAAACGTATTAAAACTTGGTTTTATTATTCCCTTGACTAACATTGTATCTTCATTTAATATCCTTAACAAGACTATACTTCTACAGTAAATAGTTACACACTACGGAACAGTAGGAATCACCATTAATTTATGTCTACCTCCACCAGCCCAACGTCCAGTTCTGCGCAACCCTCTAGGGAGTATAGAGGGGAGGGGGGTTAGTGGACATGCACAGGTACGGACTGACTTGCCTGAGGGAACCTATTGACGGGAGGTTTAGGTGGTTTGAGCGCCGCGTCCGGCCCGATGTAATCCATCTGTTCTCCTTCTTCATCTGTCAAATCACATATACTCTCATCCACACAACTTCCAACAAGTTACTTCAATCCACTACGCTTGAAAAATATATATATCCAAGTTTCAAAACTACTTTGCAATAAAAAAAATCTGTCCTAAATTAGATTTTTTTACATTGTATTGGCTAGTTACCATAACAAAATTTACAAAAAAAAAATTGCTGGTTTTACTAGTTTTTTGAAGTAGGCCATATCTCATTAGCTTGACCCTAATGGTATCTAAGTCTTGTTCATTACTTGGTGTAAAACGTACAGTGTTTGTATTTTCAATAATTTACTGTAAAGTACAAAGCATAGGCTACATATGTTTTGAAATTTAATTTAGCCTTTTACAGATTCTTACCTAAAACTGACACTGACGAAGAAGAAGGAACAAATACACAACTAACTCAAATAGGAAAAATTCCATCCAGTTGTTAGCACACACATGTAGGCCTACATAAATATTTTCCCTCTGTAGACAGTAAGAACCATATGAGAAAGAAGATTAGAAGTATGAATAAGAAGAAGTAAACTTATGTGTAGTAGGCCTATGTGATCTTTTTGTGTGCCTAAAACCCTTTTTCTCGTTAATTGTGTATTCATACTTTCTTCCTCAATGCATTCCAAACCCAAATTCTCTATCCTCCACAATTAATTACAAATTAATTAATAAATTAATGCAGCAAAAACGGCTGTTTTTAATGCATACGTTGCAGGTCTAAAGTGACATTTTACTCTCTAGGGATGAAAAGTGCCCATAGGGAGTAAAAATCAGCTGTTGTCAACTCAGTTGTAAATTTTGATTGTAAACAATTGCATGCATCAAAAGTATGTATCGGTTGTTTGTAACAACACAATTAATTGTAGTAGACGAAACGATTGAATCACTTACTAAACAGATGATCGTTTCCATTAGCAAAATTAATTGAAAACAAGTTTTGAGAGGTTATCTTTAAATTAAAACTATTGTAGTTTTGTAAAATAGTTTGTTCAAATAATGGTGCAATGTGACCAAAAAATATAGTTCATCACACGGGCAAAAAGTGTCTTTTCAACTCTAGTCCATTTTCAAAACTTGAGCTCGGGTCGGAAAAGAGTCACTTTAGGCCCTAGTGATGAAATATACTGTTGTTTGAATATAACACTAACCTTCTTCTTGGTTCTGATCTCTTTCATATTCCTCTCGGTAGTCATGGTTCATATGATTGGGTAACACCTTGTTTCCTTCATCTCCTCTGTAAAAATTGCAACCTTAAATTAATTTTCCCACTTAAAAATCATGTTTTTTCACCAAAGTGAAATCGTTCAAATTAACCATCTAGTGTTCTGCTATTCATCACTTGTTCATACCACACCAAAGATTAACCAATTTTAAAAGAACTGTTAGAAACTCAAGAATTACTCACACTCGCCACTGATTATGAGGTAAAGGAGCCTCTTCTTCTCCCTCTTCATGCGCTCCATCCCTCAAATTCTGAGGTCCGTCATCTTCCCAAGGTATCGCATTCATGGCTTTGTTTCTGGCTGTTTCCAACGCCGCCACTCCTCTACTTTCACCCTGATCCACAGAAAATGCATCAAGTCTTACCCGACAACTGAAATGTTTTTCAAATCTATTGAGAATTAATATTTGTTTAAATCTCCGATACAGATATAAATAGGTCAATAACAGTCGGTGTGAATGTTTTATTTCCTTTCGAGATATTTTAAATACTGTATACTGTTGAGTTGGTTTAGGCTTTTCCAAAGCGTACTACAGACCATAACATTTTGTTTATGAAAATTAAACCTTAACATTCTCACAGACATGATATACTTGAGGAGGGAAAATTAACCAAACAAAACTAGGTTCAACGTTGAACAAATTCTTGAGAACAAAATATGTTCCTTGATATGTAATTTTGTTGCTCCTTTAAGAACAGAAGTAAAAGTTTCAGGAAATTAATTAATTTTAGAACAGTTTAAGTATATACACAAATATACAAAGACAAGCTGAAAACTAAACAAAATATTTTTTTCATACTCAGTAGATTTATCTTTCAAATTAACCTAGCCTAACTTTTAACCTAACCTCCAGCTTAACTTAACTCCCAACTAAACCTAACTCCTGATCTAACCTAACTTCCAACCTTAACTTTCTTCTAACCTAACATCCGGCCCAACCTACCCTTTAACTTTACACAGATTCATCCAAACCTGACAATCAACCTAACCTAACCTCCAACTTAGCCTAACATCTCCAACCTTGCCAACCTAACCTAACCACCAGACTAACCTGTAACGGAGGTGCAGCCTGCTCCTGTATAGGATTCAGAGGTCCGGCGATATTGCCAACCTCCCCACCATTGTTATCATCCTCCCGATGACTCTCGGGCCGTTTGATCACTGTGTTCTCAGGAGACTGAGGTTGTGGCGCTGCAAGGTTCTGCGGCATCGGAATCTGACGGTTCATCTCAGCGTCTGCGTCCACCTGTTTCATCGGCTGCTGTATTGGGGCAGCCACCGCCTGTGACAGTAATTGATTTGCTATAAATAAATTGAGAATTGATGCAAAAAAAGTATTAATTAGCACACTCTAATACTCCTTACCATCAGTTTCCCAACAACAATACGTAGAGATTAGTATTTTGTCAACAGGACCACAAATAATGGAAATCCTAAAATAATTGGTAAGTGACTGGTAATCAATGCAATAATTTTTAACATACCTGAGTTGGTTTTTTACTGCTTTCGCCAACTGCAGAAACGGATTTCGTACTCTGTAAAAACACAAATAGTTTGGCCATTTATTTACATCTCTGTTTTTATGTTGGACGATATTAAATAAATTAATACAATCCAATAACTTTCACACACAACTTGATGACAAAAGGGTCTAATTAGAATGGAAACATAATGGAACAACCCAAACACAAGTGGAGATCTATTAGGGACCTTTCACATATAATGTAATGCTCAAAAAGAAGTGGGAGGGTTTTTAAAGATTGTTACGGTAACACACTAAAAATATATTTTATTCAAAGAAGCAAAATGATAAAATTAAGTTACCTTGGAGAGTGAAGGTTTAGGCGATGACCCGTCATGATCAATAACGGCCTCAGGGTTGATGACGGGAGTTGTGGAGTTGTTGCCAACCTTGTTGACAGACATAAGCTGAAACATGAATCCGCTCGTAAGATATCATTGTTTGTGTCTTTAATACTATTATCCAATCAAAATAGTTTAACAAATACATTTTAGACTACTACTCAGTGTTTGTGCGTAGGACTTTATTAGCTGTAATTAATAAACAACCTACTTCAGATTTGTACTTTCAACTAACTAGTCTAATACTATAGCTTAGACCCTATTGCTTTTAATAGGCCTCAATGTTATTAAGTGATTCCAAAATGTTTAGCTAGACATATCTAAGTTTAGGCCCTTACACACATTGCACATGGAAGGTTCGAAATAAGAGAAACGTTTATTTCCCAACCTCTAAATTCAAATGATAATTTTGCACATATGAAAAGTGATAGACACAGTACGGAGAATTTACAGATTACAACAGTATTGTTTTCTGTTTAACTCCATTTCTAGATTACTTTAGCTTTTATGTTTCTGAGTTAGTAGGTTGTATAGTTTAGCCTATGTCATGTACTTTAGAGACAGGATGGCACAAGACTGAAGGACGTTTGTGCGTACCTACAGGAAGACGTCCGTTGGGTAGGCCTAAATTGATGGTATGACCAAGTCAAGATGTGATCCAACGCGGAGGAGAAATCCGGATGGCAGAGGATAGAGAAGAGTAGAGGAGGCTAATCTACGAGGCAAAATTCTACTGAGATTTATGACGCCCCATCATGTAAGTAAGTAATGTTTCTGAGGGTTTGGTCCTACCTTAGAAGGTTCCACACCCGACTGGTTGTCTCCCGGTACACTCACTCGCTTCTCGCCTCCTTGGCAGTTCTCCAGCTGGCTCTACGGGGCATAATAGAATTTAAAAAATGTAATGATTACTCACTTTAACATTTTATTTAAGATGTAGGTAGCCTTTTTGACTTTCATTTCCCCATCTGTTTTGGCCTTAGGCTTGCAACGAAACAAGCGAAACAAGAACAAAAACCAACTGTACTGCGGCAGCACCAGGATGCGGACTCTGTCGGTGGTATTAATTCGTAGTCTGCCCTTAGATACTCACCAAATTATGGACTGATTATATAAATTTTCTATTTAAACATTACCTTTGATTCTTTTTTTCGATTCTGGATTCAAATACACAATGAATGATAACAAAACACTTTGGTTTGAAATAAACTATGTTTGGTAAAATTAATTTCAATTCAAATTAAGCTATTTAGCGTACAGAATAATATTGAAATGTTAAGTAAGCTATATTGTATTTTAAAATATAGATAATATTTATCCATTCATTCATCATTTTAAGGGGTGAAATTTAAGTATGTAGAAAGAAATGATGAAAACCCAAAATTTTCCCAAATTCAATCAAATTTTGGTACCATTTTTATTTTTATCTCTTACAGGGATTTTAAAAGTTTTGGAAACATTTCAGTACTGGAATCTTATGTTCGCAGAAGAAGTCTGGAAGTTTGCAAAATAGAAAATAATTGTGTTATAATAACTCGTAATCTGAAGTCGGTAACAAATCTAAAGTCATAAGGTATCTTAAGAATGTACAAATTCATCAACATCGCTGACATTAAACGTTTCTTTTAAAGGAATCAAGAAACGGAGTAGCTGTATATTTTAACTTTGATCATTTTAAAAATACAAAACATAAGAGCCTCATTAGACATCAACTTCCACATTGGCGGCCCCATTCGGGGGAGAGAATTGGGGGATGGATCCCCTTGAAATATCAAGATAGACCCTGTTTTAAGGCCTTAACATTTTGAGGATTTACCTACATTTTACCAGGGGCGGGGGCATTCCTCTCAAATTTAAATGTTGAGGGCACAACTAGACTCCCAAACCCATTAACTAGGTTTGGGAAATTAAAAAACAAAGTATTTCAACCAATTAAACTTTTTTTCAGATTAAATTTAAATAGAAAGTAACCGTTTACATTTTTTACTGTTTACAAAAAACAATTAGGCTAATCATTTATAATGACAACACAATATAGGCCTAAACTAAATCGTAGAATGGAATATAAACATCTTTATTAATTCAGCATCACTTAATCACACAAAGTATTCAACAACAATCCAATAATCAAGGCAAACATGCCAAGGTTTAAACAGCTGATCTAATCAATGACACAAGATCAGCTGATGAAGAGACAGATGATTGCATAAACAGCTGTTAGTGACTCACCTTTGCAGCCTCCAACTCTCTCTCAAGCTGAACTTTGGCCTTTTCCAGAGTGGAAATCCTGTTCCAATCCGGTGATTTGTCCTTCTTCATTTGATCAAATTCGTCCAACAATTTATTGTACTTCACTTCTAGTTCTAGATTTCTGGTCTGGAAAAAAATCAAGAACTTTCAGTAACCTATTATATTCAAACAACTTTGAACTCATAAAAACAATCTTTTCATCAGTTTTTGTAATTATGAATAAATGCAATCCAATTGAGTAATCTATTATACAAAGATACTAAATTGTTGCTGTTATAGCCTACAATAAGTTAATATTTGCTAGAAACATTTTTAGAGATATATTAATTTAACATTTCCCTGAACAATAACAAACTCAACTTTTTTCAACATAAATAACATTAACCATTTCACAGATTCATGAATTGTTATTTTACACAACTAATTCTATTTGGAGAATTATGTGTAGCCTAGACCTACGTTTTGTTAACCTAAAGCCCCCCATACACGGACGAGCATGTTCGCGAGCATGTTGGCGAACATGTTCGCGAACATGCTCGGCGTTGGCAACAGACGGACGAGCATGCTCGCGAACATGTTCGCGAACATGCTCGTCGCTCGGTAGCGGTTCCTAGGCCTATTCTTGCTTCTCTTGTGCTCTGTGACAGTCAAGTTGTGTGTAGGCCTATTTAGCCTACTCCTGCTTTTTTGCTGCAATTACAGCATTTAGTTTTTTGTTGCAACATACGCATTACGGTATTTCTTAGACATAAATCAGGGGCGATTTATTTTTAGCCGATTTTGTAATCGGCCGATCTAAAAATATACTGTTTGTGCCAGGCCTTAAGTTATCGGATTAAATTCATCTGTCATGGTTTGAAAATAATGTTGCTTAAAATTCCATAGTTGTGCAATAACATTTCTCGTAGTTTTGCTTATTCTAGCCTTTCTTAGAATTATTTAATTGTGACAAATTACTACAGAATTGATTGTACACATTTGTGTAGTAATATACATATTGTAATTGATGAATTAACACTCTATTTTGGAAACTCATTTAAATTTGTATTTACTGCGTTACAAAACAAAAATAAATATTTATTTAGCTTCTGTAAACATTGATTCTAAATCTATTACTGTAACTGGAATACATCAGAGTATTGAGCACCATGATGATTACAAGTGCAATCTGTCTATTGCGGCTACTTTGTAATGGCGGTAACGAAGTAATCGTTTGGAACCGGAACGGTTACTTGTAATGAGTCAACGAGTGTAACTGGAATCATAGTAGCGACTACATCGATGGAATCATTTAGCCTATCTCTACCCAAGTTGGAGCGACGAACATGCTATCGAACATATTGGTCGTCCTCACAGACGGGCGAGCATGTTCGTGTTCGGGCTCGCCAAGTCCGACGAGCTCAGCGCCGAGCCCAACATGCTCGCCGCGAGGGATCCCACACACGGGCGAGCATGTTCGTCGCCAACACCGTCACGAGCATGCTCGCGAACATGCTCGCCCGTGTATGGGGGGCTTTAAGAACGGATTTCTGCTTCATTAGTCAATTTTGTTTTTAGATGAAACAAAGATCTAAGATAATGTAAACAATAAAACTCTTTTGGGGATGATTAAAATTCTGAACATACTTAATCTGTTCCCATGTAACAAATTCAAATATTATGTAGATGTTTTTTTTTAAGAGGAAAGAATTTGACTTTGAAGACACATAATTATGAAACTTGGCGACTCCTAACATACGTTATATTATAGCAATCAGCAACCATTACACTGTGTAAGTGTTTCATTTTTGTTTATAAACTAATCAAGCTTCTTATTATTGTTTTATGCATTTACTTTGAATAGAACTTTTTATTGTAAGGAAACATGCGTCTTATTACTTACAGCAAGACAACACTCATGATTTATAGCTACTGGGGATGGAGCAAGAACATATAGCAAGAAAAATAGTCAAAATGATCAAACCATCTTAATACTCTTATGTCAGGAAAACACAAAAACAGTGCTAAATTCGCATAGCTGCTACGTCCAGTCATCAGGTCTGAAAACTTTGTGTCAACGCGCAACATTTGTCTGCACAGTTTTTCACATCTCCACATTCTGCTGTGCGCGCATCACAACTGATTTCATTCGCCGAGGACTGATGTCGGAGACCTTCTAAACCTTGACTTAGCAAAATTCCTGCAAACCTAACCTCAATATAACAAATCTTGTTTTAAGAAAATCCTCGATAAAACAAATATTCCGTTCGGTCCCTTCAGATTCGTTATCCCGAGGTTGGACTGTTAGCTACCTTTGAATGTATTCCACAACCTTTCTATACCAAGAACTTTGATTATGCTCGTACCGTAGTTTGGTAGAGTATCTCTTACAATTGTACCACAAGAGTTCTGGCTGTTTCTACATTGGAAGCAGATTTTCCTGGCCAGCCAACCCGACCAGAACAGACCCAACCAAAACAGACTGGACCAAAAGAGACCTCAACAAAACAGACCCGGCGCTCCTACACTACAGCTAGTCTCAGTCTCAGAATAGTTACAGCTGTCAACGAGGAATGTTAACTGTGATTTTCAACATGCAACTGGGACTGACTGAGAGAAAAAAACAAACTCGTTTGATTCTTGTCAGATCAATCTAAGCTCGACCCTCCTTCCCAGCATTACAACTGGCCCCAGTGTAGAAGGGAAAAGGTGAAACATGTGTTAGTTTAAGTCAGACTCGGTAGACCCGCTCAGACTCTAGAGTCTAAAGAAGTTCCGCTTCCAATAATGGAGCAGCCTTATCGTGACGGTAGTAACTATAATTAAGTAAGATAGAAGATAGAATAGATGTAAATATGAAAATACAGCACAACTTGTGCTCTTACCTTCAAATTTTCAATTGCCTTTTCTTTGCTGGCTCGCAACTGTTGTTCCTCATTCAACTTAGCGTTGTACTGTTTCTTTTGGAGCTCCAGATCCTCCAACAATTTGAGATTCTTCTGCCTGAGATTGTTGTTGTCATCTTCCAAGTCTTTTTGTTTACTCTAGAAACGTTAAACATAATTTTAAATCACCCATAAGTCCCCTTCTCTATGCTCTATCCTTAATCTATGCGGAGTGAGCTGGTCTAGTGGTTAGAGCAAGAGACTTCAGTTCCTGAGGTACCGGGTTCAAATCCCGCCAAATCACCAATGGATTTTATCTAAGTGATAATGACGCAACCCCGAGGTCTAGCCTGAAGTATGTGAAAAACGATTCCGGGATTGTGATTAGCGCCCTAGGACATAAAAATCCATAATCCATACTCTATCTATAATCCTTATATTCAACACACTAATAATTACAACTTTTGTTCAGTTATGTGTGAATTAAATGAATATCTATCTATATATTAATAGGCAAGCATGTTTCTTTAAAACCTTTTTTCTCAGCTCGTGTGTATCGTAGGGAAAATCTACGCATACCGTTAGAAAGCTATTTTCCTGTAGGTGTGCAGAATCCCTTTATAAATTAAAATAGGCTCAAAAATAAGCACAAAAAATGAATTTGAAATTTTAAAAAATTAACATGGGTCATATGGGTTGCTATGGTGATGACAAAATAACAACAAAATATAAACAGAAAATCAAAACAAATGGAAGACATTTCAATCACATGTTTTATTTACAGTGTGGGGTGAAAATAGAGAAGTTTGCACAAAACATACTTTTGGTCGATTTTTCGACCACGGGGCGTACTCTCGTTCTCTTTATTTTACTCTCTAAAATAATTACGACATAATACAGCAGCTGCTTTGGTCGGGATTTAAATTCGGGTTTCCAAGAACGTTTCACAACAACAGCGTAGGAATACAATTAATTTATCTTCATACTTGGACGTAGATGACGCATCATACACTTGTGCAACATAATATAAATACAGACGTAGCCTACATAAACACTCAAGGGCACACAATCATAGAACAGATACTTCTAGAACATGTTGTTTTGTATTAAAGGAATCTAGCGACGATACTATGTTCCAGTGTCAAAACATAACATTGTCAAAATAAAGATCAGTATCACTTCTCAACTACACCTAATGGCAATACAGCTGGAAAACAAACATTTGATAAACAAGAGGATATAACTGGGCTGTGAGAACATGACTAAAGATTAGTTAACTGAGTTAAACATGTTTGTGTCCAGATACAATTTATAATGTTTTAAAGCTGTACATAAATTGTTTATCTTGCACATGTACCAGTACTAACAAATTAAAGTACAGTAGAACCTTGATAACAAGACTCTCATGGGGATTATAAAATAAGAATTGTTATCACGAATACTAGACTCAAGGTTGTCTTCTTATCGAGGTTTGCAATAACATGTGATTAGGGGTAAAATAAATCCTAGGGGATTTAAAAATGACACTTGTTATCAAGAGTGATTTGTTATCGAGGGTCTTGTTATCGAGGTTCCACTAGCCTACGTTACCCCGTCTGATAAGAAAAACTGACGTTTTTTTTACATAGGTAAACCATTTTTTACTTCTAGGTTATGTTGCCAGTTCCTCGGACAAACGTATACAAAGTTTTTTGACTGAATTTTAGTGGTAATATTATACATAAGTGAAGGAGTTTATGTATTCAACGATCGATTGGTTACAGTCAAGTTTATTTTTATGATTCAGGAGAGGCAAATAATATACACTGTTCAAAAATAGAAAATGAAAATTGCTATCCAAATCTTATAGCTACAAGAGTTATCCAACCTATTTCATGGTGTTGCTGCTTTAGCCTATTCAAAGCAGATTATGGCTTTCCAGTTGATAACCCAGAGTTTGTGGGTAAAAAATGGAGCACATTAAATTGTTGATATCACTCCACTTTTCAGGATTCTCTACGGAGAAAAATCGTTTGATTAGGGGGATGTCTAGGCAACAGTTTTCTTAAATTCTCATTGCTGGAAAAACTTTGTTGCAACATGTTAGCTCGAATTGAAGTAGATCGTTTAGCATTCATTATAAGTTATCAGTTAAAACTGAGAGCAGAAATAATGTAGGTGAACCTTGACGACACAAATAGAGATATTTAAAATTAGTTTCTAACAAGTGTTTAAACAACTCGAAGATTTAACTAGAATTACTCGAATTTAAGCATTAAACGTTTACCTCGGCGTTATGTTTCATACTATGCGGCTCATTGAGCCGCACGGGTTCTCTAGTTCAGTTTAAAGTAAGGTAGGTAGTTTCCTCACATGAACTCCAAAGGCTCATAGACCTATAATAGACGTAAGAGTAACTTAACAACTATTTGCAAAACTATAATTTCAAGTAAAAACCTCAAAGAAGACAGCTACAACCGGGATGTGATTTAGAACCACTTTGTTTGGGCTTTTGGTTGACCAGTGTTAGTACAGTTAGCTGTCAGGTCCGATCATGGTTGAGCGGTCTAAGGCTGCGGATGACTCACTTAGCGACAAAAAGTATCTACACAGTCGCCACCCAACCATTGTGCGGCGGTGCAAATGCTGTATTTTTTCAGTCCATAGTAAATGGTGATATAGTACTACGTGGACTAAAGGGGCCCCCACTGTTGTGTCGCTCGTGTTACTAAAGAGATCTTGGGCTTTGTTTAGGGGAGTGACATCACTTAGCTAGGAAAGGCACGTGCCTTCCAATGTGTTTAAAGAGATTTTAGCTGTAGTGTGAATTTAATCGTCCAGCTTAGGCAGCTTACACCTTAAGTTTAGTTCTTTGACCAGGACACAGCACCATAGAATAAACCGTGGAAGTATGCTATTTACTGGCATAACTAAAACAAAAAATAATGGAGGGGAGTCCATGGGGTCCAACGGATTGTTCAAATAATTTGAATGGTTTACATTTACGAACTCAAGGTTTCATAGATATAAAGTAGATATGACCTACATAGATTGTGGATGAAATTAAGATTCAAGCAGTTTTCTCATTAGAATTAAATGTACCTATGTATATTATTAAGATTCAATCAAACCTGCAAGAGTTTTGTGCTTTGCTGAAGTGCGCTGTATTTGTTTGCTGCCTCTACCAAGTCTCTTTCTCTTTCTTCTTTCTCTTGTTTTGCTCTACTTTGACATTCTTCTTTTGTCTGTTTGTGTTCAGTTTTTTCCTTTTGTAAAGACTTTTCTAGCCTTAATTTATATTCAAAAATGACTGGAAAAACAAAATTAAGAACAATAGAATCATATTTTGCGAACAGTTATTAAAAATCTATTTATCCGTACAATAAGCAATTGCTTTTTAGCTTTCCTCATACTGTATATAACACTATATTTTTTCAATTGCATTATTGAATCATCAATTGAATTATCTAAGTTTTTTAATGTTTGAATGCTTTGTTCAATCCTGAGAAATGCCAGTAGCTTTTGATGGTTTGAAACTGGACCCAGCTGATCCTGATTTTTGGGCTTTAATAAATGAACTTGGCTGATGAAACAGGTGATCTTACAGATCATCTCACAACATTCTACACTCATCCTTCACTCATTATTTGGATTAAAATACGCAATACACAACACTTCTGTACAGCTATTCCAATTACTCTTTTTAATGTGGGCAACAGTATTCTTTCCTCATGGATTTTTTTCTCCAGTAATATAATTGATGTCAAAGCTTGGCACAAATGTTATAGCCAATCCATCAAGTTTATAAATAACTAGCTGTAACCCGCGGGCTTTGCCCCGTTAAACTTCTTAATTTTCAAGATTATCTCGTTCGCATGGCTCAATCACGTCCTGGTTTAAGTTTGTTCGCTACGCTCATTCACCTTTAGGTTGGAGCTCGTTCGCTACGCTCACTCACCTTTAGGTTGGAGCTCGTTCGCTGCGCTCACTTGCCTTCAGGTTAGCTCGTTCGCTACGCTAACTCGCCTCCAGGTTGAAGTTCGTTCGCTACGCTCACTCACCTTTTGGTTGCAAATTAGCTGTTGTCATAAATGTAAAAGAAATAATAGTGCTGCACCCTGTTGGTAATTTTTGTAACTTTAATGCTATTGAACATCACAGAACAGAACCAACTTGTTTAATTGAAACAGCTGTTAAGATTCAATAATTTCATTTCTCATAAGGTTAACATGGGAAACTCCAGAGCCACTGGGGCGGAGCCCGAAAGGATTTTTGAAATAAGAATATGCCTATATGTTAATCGGGAATGTGAGCTATCATCATGCCAAATTTCAGCACAATCCGACCAGTATTTTTCGCGTTCACTTGTCACAAACATACATCCATACATCCATACATCCATACATCCAAACTTTCTCATTTATAATATTAGTAGGATAATGAACTAAATACTATTGGCATTTTCTATTGTATCAACCTATGACATCTCCACTTGCGATAATCATACGCCTGATTTAATGTTTTCATTTACACAGAGGATACACGTCCGGTAACTGGGCGTGGATTAGGCGTCTGGCAGTGACGTCACCAGGTTGTGGGGGCCCGGAACGCCATTACCACAACGATACGATGTACAGCACCTTTAACTACAGGCCGCGGCCTGGTAGAATTGGCAACATCGCAAGTGGTGTTGTTCAGTGACAGACGTCCCGTAAGATAACATGGAAGACAGGTGACATCAGCTCATTAATTCGCACTTCATTTTGATTTAAATTTATATTTATGAATATAAATTTATTAAAATATTGAAAATAAAACATACAGAATTGAAAACCGAAACAACCGGAATTAAAATCTATATCTGTAGGCCTACATTTTTAAGCGGAGTCAATATTGTCATAGTCCAGTAACAAATCTTTCGTAAATACACAAATACCATTTAGCTGCTTCCAAACAAAACAGTTGTTACAACACCACTCGCGACATTGCCAGTTCGAAGGCCGCGGCCTGCAGTTAAAGGCGGCCGTGTGTACAGCTATTGGTTGTTCGTGGTGTAGTGGATAGAGTGCTCGGCTGATTTGCAAGAGGTCCCTGGTTTGAATCCCATCAGTAGCCTAACTTAAACTTTTTGTCAAAGATTTTGTTTTGAATAGGTACCATTTCTTCTTAACTGTAGGCCTACATCTTTTGTTAGATTTTTTGGCATTTATAACTTTTTTTTATGGTCAGAATTTAACCTTCATTTGATTTTTTCATTATCAGCAAGTTTGGTTGGTTAGGTTAGATTATGGCAGTAGCTGCCAGACACCTAATCGACGTCCGGTTACCGGAAGCGTATCCTCTGCGTTTCATTTATAGATTACAACGAGCGATTTAACTAGGCTAGTAAAGTTGTAGGCCTATCAAAGTTCTGCCCAAAACTTGTTTGGCAAGTAGCCTATGTTAGGCCCAAGGCTATTAAAAAGAAAAAGAGGTTGCCTCAGTCACGCGTATGACGTCACCCGCCGACCCAGATCTGTTTACAAATAAATAAATGAAAAACAAACAACAATAACAAAGTACTTGACAGGTGACAGCTGTGTGAATTAAAAGCAGCACCGTCCGGGTCGGCGGGTGACGTCATACGCGCGACTGAGGCAACCTCTTTTTCTTTTTAATAGCCTTGTGTTAGGCCTACATTACCCTACTCCACTACCTGAAGTTATTCACAGAATTTATGACATAAATCAAAGGTAATTCTAGCTTACTTCTGCCTGAATCCACCTTACATCTGTAATCATACCTTGTAGTTGTGCTGATAGCGATTCTGTCTGCTGGTTGCAAGCAGCAAGTGCTTTACGATTGTCATCCAACTGCAACTGACTTCCATGGAACAAATAGACAACTATGCCGAATGCAAACACGCCACATATATAAATAAAAAGTCTACTTTTTGTGCTTCGAACTAAACGTGCAGAGCTCATCTTGATGTGCTTATTACACTACACAAGTTCGTTTCAATAGGCTAGAATGAAAGATAAAAACTGAACATCCCTTAGACTGTAGGCTTAATAAACCAATTGTCAACAACTTTCTGCTCAGTAAAAATATTTGTGCAAACTTATTTCGTTCAGTCACTGTCAAAATCAAGGCCTATTAGGAATTGTTGAATACATTTAAGGTGGATTATTAATTCCTTCCTAAGAAATGTTTAGCAAGGATTAGGTTAGTTTTACCTAGTTGAATATTAAACTCACAAAGTTCAGCCGAAAATAAAACTTAAATGTAAGGAATTTATTACAACACTTAGGGTTCTTTCAAATACGGTAACTTTCACAACTCACAACTAACTACTGATGATAGTTTGCTTGCATTCAATAACACAATTTATTATTTGTGGATGTTTTCTGTTTTCTTCTATTTTGACACTCCACTCAGTCCAGTCAGATCAGATCCCTGATCTAGTCTTCCTTTCACTTTTTACTTGTTCTTGTTCCTCTCAAAATCGTCAGCACTTTTTTCTGATTGGCCGATTTACTGACAGCTCGAACTGTCTGACTCGAATATACGTGTTAGCCAACTTTATATTTTATGGTAATGAGGTTTTTCGACCATACTATATGCAGTGTTATACATAATAGTTATTCATAAAAATTATACATAATATCATAGATAAAACACATGTCCGTGTATTCACATATATTTATTATATAATCATCGACTATAGATACTGCTAAAGCTAAAAGCTCTCCTACCCAGATGCAAAATCTGATAAGAAGTCTACTTTCAGGGTCCAAAGTTAATTATTTCCCCAAAAAAACGTATTTATACATTTGCTAAGATACATCTATGCAAAGATTATTTAAAAATACACTTTATTTTCAAATTATAATATCCGTAATGTTATTTTAAATTTTATTTTGTACCAGATAAAACATTCAACTTTAAATGTAGATTTTGTGAGCATAGCCCCGAGAGGTTTGATAGTATAGTAGTTTCCGTTTCCATAAGACAGTTAACTACATAGGATGTTCAATAACAAAAAATTCCAAAATATAAGTCATTGTCCTGTATACATTTTTAATCTATTGTCAATACAAAAACGAAGCTGGGAATGACACCGCATTATACATGCTTGGTTTTCATGTAAACAATTTTCTATTCAAAAAAGACGTGTAATCATTTTTACATCGTCTAACGCCTTCGACGTTGGACAAACGGTCCTTGTCCTAAGTGTCCCATGACAACCAACGCTACAAGAGCGGCATAAGCAATAACGAAAAAGAACTTGGAGCTGGACATGAAGAATCTCATGAGGATCGTAAATGCTAAAAGGCCAAACACTGCATGCATTAATGGTTGTTGTTGAGGAGTCGCGGATGCCCCAGATCTTGCCAAGATGGGATCTGGTGTTATTGATGGCCGCTTTACATCTCTATTGCTTTTAAACCCTCCATGAACCTGCCCTGGAAAATTTGTAGTAACTGGTTGTGGGTTTACATCAGGAGTAGCAATTTCTTGCTCAGGAAATGGGGGATATTGTACTGTTTCACTGTCTTTCTTAACAACTCCCGAGGGGTTTTTTGCCTCCACTTCTTCGACATTTTGGGTCTCAAAATGTTCTTCTCCCTTTACATTATTTGTCGAATTTAAATTAAGAGATTCCGGTTCTGTAACAGGTTCAACTAGTTGACTACTATTATTACTTTGATCCTTATTGTTTTCAACATTTTGACTGTCTCGTAAACTAGATTTAATTTCAGTATCAGCCCCTTGGACATCCTTTTCGCTCTTAATGCCCGGATCCGTTGATTTGTTATCACTATTGTCATTTTTCAGGACGCTTGACTTCTTGACCACTTCATTTTTTTCCAAGCCCTCAGTGATGTCATCCTTATTGTTTTCAACATTTTGACTGTCTCGTAAACTAGATTTAATTTCAGTATCGGCCCCTTGGACATCCTTTTCGCTCTTAATGTTCGGATCCGTTGATTTGTTATCACTAATAATTAAATTGTCACTTTCTAGGACGCTTGAATTCTCGACCAATTTTTGTTTTTCCAAGCCTTCAGTGATGTCGTCCTTATTCTTTTCAACATTTTGACTGTCTCGTAAACTAGATTTAATTTCAGTATCAGCCCCTTGGACATCCTTTTCGCTCTTAATGTTCGGATCCGTTGATTTTTTATCACTAATAATTAAATTGTCACTTTCCAGTACGCTTGACTTCTTGACCACTTTATGTTTTTCCAAGCCTTCAGTGATGTCATCCTTATTGTTTTCAACATTTTGACTGTCTCGTAAACTAGATTTAATTTCAGTATCGGCCCCTTGGACATCCTTTTCGCTCTTGCCCGGATCCGTTGATTGTTTATCACTTATAATTTTTAAATTATCACTTTGGATGCTTGACTTTTTGACCTCTTGATGTTTTTCCAAGCCCTCGGCGATATCTCCCTCTTTAGTTATGGTTGGTAATGGCTCTGTAACGTCGGTCATGGTGAAAATTACTAAAATTTAGCAGATTTATGACTAATTTAGACTATAATTTACGACATGTTAGTTTCTGGAAGTGTGATTGAAAAGATATAACCTAAAATTAAATTGTAAATAAACTCAGCTGGGGTAAAGTCCTTATTGTGTATTTATGTTCCGTTATGTTGTCTGTTATTTCGAGTTAAAATAAGATTTAGATTTAGTTTATGCAGATATTGTCTTGTTTCGTGATTTTCAAGTCCGAAACCCGAAACCCCATAGGACTGAGGCTGTTCTAGGGCCATGTCCTCTTCAGCCATCAGAAATGTTTGCCCTAAAAGTACAAGGAGATTGATATTCATCTCATTTGAGTATAACCAAATCAGTTTGAAGTTGCAAATCTAGATGTAGATCTGTATTACACATTTTAAAATTACTATCACGAATGCACATTTAAAAGATTGTTAAACAATAACAGTAATAACACTTTATGGGTACGGTTGGGCAATATTGACGATTACAGTTAAAGTAATTTATGAAAATTTTAATGAATGGAAACTATAGTTGGTTTAGAATATCACCTAAAATTTACATCACCAAAAATTTAAGTATATGTATTTCATAACGTCCTCAAAACATTATCTTAGGTTTAAAACGCCTTCAACCTTAATGACGCCACTATAACACATTAATGCACTGCGTTAAGACTTCACTGAGGACAGGATGTGTTGTAAAACTGGTTCTAGGATTTAATATTTTTGTTGTTATATTTTAATTCTACACAGGGTCGTCTTGTCAAAAACTTTGATATGCCGTTTAAATGCCTAATTATTTTTAAACAACGAGAAATTTTCAAAAGTCACTGCGCTTTAACTAAATAAAATGCCATTTGCATTCGTGGTTTTAAAATAATAAAATAGAAACTGAAATCTATTTGTTTTTCCATTAGAAAAATAATATTTTCAATTAAATGACATAATACACGAAAGTTTAGCCCTCCGAGTGTCATGCGTCGCTGCAGCGACGCGTAACGCACTTTGTATAGTGTCGTGCGTCGCTACAGCGGGGACAGCTCACTTACTCTACAGATCATAGACTATACGAGCTTTTTAAATAATATTGAAGGTTCACTTGCACTACAGGCTCGTATACTATACGAGCCTATCGAAAATAAAAAGTAAATGAAGAGGGTTCACTTACTCTACAAATCATTGTGCCAATGAGCCTCGTGTATTATATTTAAAAATACAGTAGGAAGGTTCGCTTACTCTACAGATCATAGTGACTATGAGCCAAGCTTACGAATTATTTGATAATTCAGGAATAGGCTCGTATAGTATACGAGCCAAAATAATGAATAATATAAATTATAGGAATAGGCTCGTATACTATACGAGCCTTCAGAAAAATATTAGATGGCTCACTTGCACTACAGATCATTGGCACAATGATCCGTAGAGTAAGTGAACCCTCTTCAAAATATTAGATGGCTCACTTACTCTACGGCTCATTTAGCTACTCGTTGGGCGGTTTGCGTTCGTGAAACTCTAGGCGCTATGCCCGGCTTCGACTGCTGCGACTGCCTACATAAGTGTATTGCATCACCTCAATTATTTATTAAAACGAAATAAATATGTATGCACAAGTAAATTTATTACATTTTTGGACTGAATACTTTAAAAATGGAGGGAGCATGACTTTTATGTTTAATTAAATTAAACGTTATAGAATAAAACATATTTTGACTAATATCAGGTTATATAATACACACTTGTATGATCCAGATACAGAGCTACAGACAAAACCTGTGGTCCGATTTAGATTAAACTAGTGTTGTACCTGTTGCTCGAATTCGAGAAATTGCGAAGCATTACAGGTGTTATTTTAAAACGTATAACGGTCATAATTTCCAATGCCTTTATAAAAGTCGACTCAAAGATTATGGAAATACTCACGATGTACACAACAGTTAGATATTATAATCAAAATTGTTTGTAAATATCTTATCTTTGTTCAAAAGTTGATCTTTTTTTTAGAGTTTTCTACAATATTTTCCAACTCATAGCCGCATTAGTTTTCTATAATAGCAATTATAAATGAAGAAAAAACAACATTATTTATATTTCTTCTACTTGGTTGTATTCTATGACTTTCTTATGTTTCCATTGTTTGCAAATCGTCTCTTTCAATGATTGCTCAAGAAATGTAGCACAGTGTTAATTCAGTTTTATTTTGAGTAGGCTTATATCAAATTGTCCAGGACTTCTCGCTTTTTCCATTGTAATAAAACACCAACCCAAGTATCGTCTACAGATGCAATACACCAAAGATTATCATCACGTGCAATACGCCTATATACAATCTCCAAGAAGGGGTAAAAAAGGCAGAAACCAACCCATACAATATAGACATAAGTTAACCTATCTAACCAATTTGACGTTACCTGAAGATGGACTTATTTTCAAGTCCGAAACTATAGAAGTGTAATACTGAAGAAGGATCACTTGACGAAGCCAGGTAACTTAAACCATTTAGCTTAAAGGTATACAAGTTGGTTTCATACCAACATTTCATGCACATATTAAATCTATATAATTAAAACGCGAACACGAAGTTTGTCGGTTGAATCCTCCACCATTTCTTAACCGATTTTATCCACTGACGTCTCATTGGAAAGAGCGTGTTGCGTAGATTTGCAAACTGGCCTAAATTTTTTGAAAAAGTCCCTTGGCCTCTGCCACAGTGGCTTTTTAAGTTCCCATGTTATCCTTACGAAGAACATAATATTGTTTACATCAGCTGTTTAATTTAATTGTGTTCTTAGTTTTTTCAATTCAACGAAACGCATTGGTAACATTAACTGATTTTGTGGAAATTAAATATCTATCTAATATATAAAATTCTCGTGTCACAGTGTTTGTCTGCAAACTCCTCCGGAACGACTTCCCTGATCGTTATGAAATTTGGTGTGTAAATTCTGTAGGTATGCGAATCGGACGTAAACTATTTCCCGTTTCGAAATTCTTAAAAAGGCTCCGCCCCAGTGGCTCTGGAGTTTCCCATGTTAACCTTATGAGAAATGGAATTAATGAATCTTAACAGCTGTTTCAATTAAACAAGTTGGTTCTGTTCTATGATGTTCAATAGCATTAAAGTTACAAGGATTACCAACAGGGTGCAGCACTATTATTTCTTTTACATTTATGACAACAGCTAATTTGCAACCAAAAGGTGAGTGAGCGTAGCGAACGAGCTCCAACCCAAAGGTGAGTGAGCGTAGCGAACGAACTGCAACCTGGAGGCGAGTTAGCGTAGCGAACGAGCTAACCTGAAGGCAAGTGAGCGCAGCGAACGAGCTCCAACCTAAAGGTGAGTGAGCGTAGCGAACGAGCTTTAACCCAAAGGTGAGTGAGCGTAGCGAACGAACTTCAACCAGGACGTGATTGAGCGATGCGAACGAGATTATCTTGAAAATTAAACGTAACGGTACTTTCTTTCCATCGGTCTGTCTTAGGGGAAACCTATAACTTAGGCGATACGAAGTTCGCCGGGTCAGCTAGTCTATCTATATATTTATTTGAAACTGTTTTTCTTTGTCATAGCTAAATTGAGAGAACGGCTGGGCGTAGAAACTCGGTAGAGGTGTCTAAAGAAAGGTCTTGGTCTGTAGATGAGCCATCAAAAGAGAAACGTGTAAAATTCCCTTGGGGCTCTGCCCCAGTGGCCTTTAAAGTCCCATCCCATGTTATTCTTATGGAGGAAAACTGGGTTTTTCTCCCAGCTAATTTGAGAGAACGGCTGGGTGTAGAAACTTGGTAGGGGTCTCTAAATAAAGGACTTGGTCTGTAGATGAGCCATCAAAAGAGGAAAGAGGTAAATTCCATTGGGTCACTGCCCCAGAAGCCTTTAAAGTTGCCTCTTCAGATTTGTTTACATTACGACCATATGCATAATTCTAAACTACTTTTTTTAATGCAACAGCTGTTAATATTTAAATTGTGATTTATTGAATTTGTCAAACTGAAGTACAGTATTTGCAATGGATTTTTCTGATTTTAAAATTGATTTTCTTCTGCATCGTGTCATGTTTTGCAATATAATGTTCTATTACCAAATCAGTGGACAATCCTAATACCACAGTAACATTTAAAATTATTTCTTATGGAGTTAACTTATATCTATTGTATGGGTTGGTGTCTGCCTTTTTTACCACTTCTTGGAGATTGTACGTAGGTAATATTCTTTGGCATATTGCATCTGTAGACGAAACTTGGTTTGGGGTAATTAATACAATGGAAAAGAGCGAGTAATCCTGGACAATTTGATATAGGCTAAAAATAAAACTGAATTAGAACACTGTGCTACATTTCTTGAGCAATCATTGAAATAACCGATTTGCAAACAATGGAAACATAGAAAAAGTCATAGAACACAACCAAGTAGAAGAAATAGAAATAATGTTGTTTTTTTTACATTAAAAACACGAAAAAAAGATCAGCTTTTTGAAAAAAGATAAGATATTTACAAAAGATTTTGATTATATCTAACTGTTGTGTAGATCGTGAGTATTTCCATAATCTTTGAGTCGCCTGTAATGCTTCGCAATACTGCTCGAATTCGAGCAACAGGTACACTAGGCTAGTCTATATATTAATTACGAAAGCCGATTCTTTGCGTCAAAATTGTGGGCGACTGGGTAGTCGTAGAACGACGGGAGAGGGTTCAAATTAAAGGTCTCGATCCCGTGACGGCGGGAAAAATAGTGAAATTCCCCAAATTTTAACTCAAAATTAGATATAACCTTTGACTTAGTCAATAATATAACGTAAAATGTTCTCCATAAGAATAGCATTAGAAGCCATTTGTCTGTTGATTTTTGTTTACCTCAATACAGCTGATCGTGATTTATCATTAAGCCAGTAAGCAATATTACATTTGGATTTAACTCATTTGCCAGTAAATTCTGCAATGTACTGTATACTATATAAAACCAGGGATGACGTTACCTACAATTGAGACTTTTT